AAAAACCTTTTTATTTAACCATCATTTTAAGAATTAAGGATTTTAGATGTTTTAAGAATACAGTCGCATTTTCTTTCTTTAATTTTGTTGAATTTGAATGTTATCTATTGCTCTGTTTATTGTTTTAATTATTGTATTACTATTATTGATTGCAATTTTATTATTTCTGCTTTTAATGTAAGCTGTCCTGAAATGTTTTATTGGGAAGGATGGGGTAAAAATGTTTTAAATAAATAAATAGCTTATTTATTTATTTATATTTATTTTTCTATTTATATCCTGTCTTTTTCCTCAAAGGGCTCAAGGCAGCTTACATCATTCTCCTCCTCCATCTTATCCCCACAACAACAACCCTGTGAGGTAGGTTGTGCTGAGAGTCTGTGACTGGCCCAAAGTCACCCAGTTGGCTCCATGGCTGAGCGGGGACTAGAACCCAGGTTATCTGAGTCCCAGTCCCATGATCTTAACCACTACATCACACTGACTCTTATTCTTTAAGCTTTATTCCAACAGATTAAAAATCCATTTAATATTCTTCCAGCAGATGGAGCTCTGTAGACTTATCCAGTTACTGAGTTTTATTTCACCAAGTTAGAACCATTATACATCCTTCATACAGCAGAGGGAACTCTCAATGGCTTTAAAAAAAGTTTACTTTTCTCCAGACATAACTCCTCTCGGCTGATACTTAGGAATGTAAACAATCTTTGTTTATAACTTTTCAATTATCCCTGTCTTTATATATTACTTATTTTAAAATTCATTTCCACTGAACACTTTAATCAATTGAAAATGAAGCTTTCACTTTCTTACAAATCACAAGCTGGTCCCATTAGTATTATTTACTATATTGTCTTCTACTGGAACTGTGCAGAATCTACTTAAATTTAACTGCTGAAACTTTTACAGTTTGTAAATCAGTCTCTTTAATTAGCTTTAAGTTTCAACACTCTTTTTCCCAATTGTTTTCCAGCATAATCTCCATCTTACTCCAATACAGTCAGTCACAGTCACTCTCCCCACTGAGGCATTTCCAATGAGAGTTATTCATTGAATTTATTTACAATCCATAAAACAATACCTTCTTATTAAACTCCTCTCAGGCAGCAGTCTCCTTCCGATTGCTTCCACAATAATCTACGCTCTCTGGGTTTTGCTTGTTATTTTTAACAAGGCATTGGGAGCTTTCTTTTCAATGACTTCTCACAAGCATTGACTGGCCCACCCCCCCCCACCCCCAGTGGCTCTCAATACTATCAACCATGGTATCTTTTTGGGGCAACTACCTGAGCAGGGAGCTGGAGATATTGCATGCAGTGGTCCCACACCTACTTGGATGCCCTGCTGCAGAAGATGGTACTTAGGGAATATTGTTTTGCTCTGTGATTCTCCAGCATGAGATTCCCAGAGTATGGTTTCATCCTCCATGCTGTTCAACATCTGTTTGAAACTGCTTAGTGGAGTTTTGGGGTGCATTAAATCAATAGACAGTTGTCCCACAATTCTATTTTTGCTCTTCAGTACCAGCAAGTGAGGCTATGGATGTGCTCAACACTGCCCAGCTTAATTAAGACTCAGCAATATGCTGATGATACTCAGCTTTACCTTTTTGACATCTCATCCAGGTGAGGCTGTTGCCATCTTGAACTGGGACCCGAGTTCAATAATGGACTGGATGAGGCTCAATAAACTGAGGCTCAATCCTGACAAGACAGAGGTGCTGCTGCGGGGGAGGTGTCATCTGACAAGTTGAAAGGGCATTGCCCTGTCCTTGATGGGGTTGTACTCACCCTAAGGGACAGGGTCTGCAGTCTGGGGGGTGCTCCTGGACCCAGGTTTGTTCCTGGAATATCAGGTGAGTTCAGTGTCCAGGGGTGCTTTTCTCCAGCTACAGAGAATACATCAGCTTTGTCCCTACCTGGGCAGACAGAGCCTGAAAACAGTCACCCATGCACTGTAACATCCCAACTAGATTACTGTAAAGCACTCTAAGTGTATTGCCTGAAATTGTTTCATATTGTATATTTGTTCCAAATCTATTTGTACCGGGAAAATATTTTCAAAAACTTAGTATGTTGTTTCGTGAATTGCCTCCCTGCTAGACGAAAGGGCCAAAAATCCAATATGGATATGATGGCACAAAGCTGATCAAACACCTTGTCAAAATCCTTGAACTTAACCGAAACTCATCTGATAAGGATGGACCAGACTATTCTGGTACCTCACTTGATGCAACTACTATAATGCTGGACTTTGTCCAGGCAGATGAAAGATTTTTCCCCCTGGAAGTGCCTAGTAAATATATTACAATAGACCTTAGATAGATCTGAGATATCCTGGGGACCAGTGTACCCCTGATGACACTACAAAGCTCTATGTGGCAAATAAAAGACTGGAAAGTGGTTTCTTAGCCACTCCCACTGCCTTCAAACATATCTATTACAGGCTGAGAAGGGGAAAGAGAAAGACAAAGGGTTAGAAGTGGAGAGGAGGGGTGAGTCTAGAGAAACAGCAAGGAGAAAAGATGGAGGGAGATAGAGGCTGGGAGTACTGATAAAGAGTGGAATAAAGAGGGGAGTGGAATGGAAAGAGCAACACTATGGGCTTGGAAGGAAAGAAGACAACTAGGGGCAGGGAAGGGATAGAAATAGCAAGGATGTGATTACCTGACAAGTCAAAGTAAGTCTTGAGGCTGGAAGTGGACATATAGAGGGAAAACAAAAAGGAAAGGTCTATGTCGATGGAAGAAAATTGGTAGGGTCAGGAAACAGCCTTTTTCTTCTCTTCCTGCCTGCTGAGCAGTAGCATGTTCAAGAACAAGAAGGAAAATCTGATCTCATAACTTTTTTAAAACTAATAATCATTTTGTTCAGGCGGCATGGAGTAAAGATATTCTTGCATCATGTTGGGAAGCACTGAAAATATATTGCAGAAACAAACCATTGGACACTTGCCACTTGTAGCAAGGGTAAGTTCAGTCTAAGGGACAAAAGCATAGTCAAGCAAGCCGGGGTCAAGAAAGCAACGCAGACAAGAATGCTTACCTGAGAACAGGAACAAACAGGAGCCAGGAACGGGAGCACGGTCTAAAAGTTCAGGTCACAAGCAAGGAACAATTCTGGAAACCTTCACTGCCAAAACAGCTTCTGGAACAAAGAGCCAGGTCTTACATAGCCCTTTTCCCAGGGCTCCCAGGTGGTGCTCATGAGGGCCCTGACAGCTGCAGTGGAGTAATCCTGCAACTACCAGTGCTGCTATGCTGGTTCTTGGCCAGCAGATGGAGCCCTGAAACTGCCTCCAATGCTGACACTTTTCTGTTTAGATTAGGAACTGACCTTTAGTGCCTTCCACTAAACACCCACTGTGGGAAAAATAAAACTCCATTGTTGTTATCTATACTCTTTTCTTTTTCTTTCACATTGAGAAAAACTTAGCCTTTGGAAAAGGAAATGCTTTTAGAAAATAGAGTTCATCTCATGTTCAACATGAAAGCTTTCTCCTTTCCTATTTTTGGACCACACTGCTTTGGCATCATCTTAGGAGGTTTGGGCTGAAACCACATGTGTTGTTTTGCTTTTTTCTGTACCCTACAGTGTTTAAGTGCAACAAGCAATAATATCCAGAACCCTTCACTCTGCTTTGTGGTTCATTCCACATCCTGGAAATGCCAGTTTTGCTCTAAGTTAAAGGTCCTGGCACATATCCCTTGAGCAAATGTGTTTAACAGTATATATACACAGCCAAAGAACGTTTAGTACTTAGCCACAGTGAAGAGAGGAGGAGTGAAAAGCAAACCCTGTGAAGCTGGATAGGTTTTCAAGGGTTTTCAAGTGGAAATAAGATGAGAAAGACCGACCCCTCTCAAGTTAAATAATGGACAATGTTTATTTATTATTTATTTATTTAAATCATTTCTATGCCGCCACATCAGGTAACCTTACCTTATAAGTCTGTCCATCCATGATCCACTACCTTGCCTGAAGAGTGTCAACCTGAGCTAAAGCAAATGCTTCTCCTTTCTGTTGACAATTACCTGGCATACCTTTTGCAGTGTTGGAAAGGAATGATGGAGCAAGGGAGACTGGACTATTCAGGTGAACCAGGTTTGGGGAAAGGAATGTGTTAGGATCTTGGCTTGGTCCCACAGGTCCTGACCACTTTCCAGAGCCTTGAACATGTGCACTCCAGTTCTCTGAAGTCCATGAACACTGTCACCATGCAAAGTGTTAGGTGGTGTACTGTCATTGCCCAAGGCCAAAAGGGTTCTGAGACTGAGATTTTTAGTGGCAACCAGACCTTTACAAACGAGACCCTCCATTTCGGACTCTGCACTGGTATCTAAGTCTCCACAAGACACTCTGCCTCTAAGGAGAAGAGCTCAGATTCTTGCAGTTAGAAGAGTATTCTGCAAGCATTATGCCTTGCTCCCCAGACATGCAACAGCAGAGGAAGTAGGTAACTTTAGCCCTTTAAGAAAACTGGGTGAAGCACCTGAAGTTTGTCTGTCCCATGTTATTCCTCCTCTGCTATGCAGATCACAGAAGAGGGTGAAAAGGAGGCAGAAGAAAAAGCAAAGAAAGGTGGCAGAGAGGAAGTTAAACAGTGTGACCTTTCCTCTATGGCCCTGTCCACCACCAATTGGTGTCTCCCAAAAGACTACATGCAAAAGACTGTGGCCCTTGACAGAAGAAAAGTTGCCGTCTATTGACAGTTCAATGGCCCAGGGAGCTTGGATGATTGGCCACAAATTTCTGCACCGAGCCTCATGCAGGCCAAAGGGATTTAAATCTCTCATTTCTTTGTGAGCATGATGTTAGAGTGTCCTTTCTTGGTTCCTGTGGGTCTCTCTTTACAAGTCCCCCAAATATCCTTTCTTCTCCTGGTAAACCTTGCCAACAAAAGTGAATCTTTGTCCTATAGCACATAATTGTAAATCTACTTTACATCAAGACGCTGGAAACGCGACATGAACTGAATAAATGAAACAGACACCCACAGAACAAGGTAAGAATAAAGTTCAAAACTTTATTCATTTTACTTGGTTTGAGTACAACAGTGATGTAGATTATAGTGGCATTGGTGTGGTGGGGTGATGACTGTATCTTTATAGAAGAGATGAAGAGCAATGATGGCCAATGTTTCATTTTGCAAGAAGCAGATTTAACTGTATAGACAGGCATTGGTGTATTGTTTTTAAAAGAGAAGTTCCAAATCAGAGGTGTCCCATGATAAAAAAGGGGGGGGGGACAAAAAAGGAGAAAATTCTGACAAAAGTTACTTTCTCTCATTTTGGGGAATGGGTTGAACAGGGAAGAAACATGTAATTGAAAACCGCATTGTTAAAACCCAATAAACAGAAGAAAAATACAGTTCATTAAAGCAATCTTCCTACAAAACAGCAGTAAAGTTCCCTCGCTGCAAGGGATGTTGGCAGTGGATCCAACTTTGCACAAACAAGCGCTCCCATGGGAATAAACAGCACTTGTTATAGGCTCTGCTCTGATTTTGCTGGCTAGGAAACAGCCTGATGTTGAAGTGCTTTGCCCCAAATTCCATGGGATTTACATGAAGCTTGACTGTGCATTAGAGTCACTGATTGTGGATTAGTTTAAAAAAAAGAGTATGCAAATTAAGATCAATTACCTTTGAAGAAACAGATTTAGGTACAGACTCTGTACCTTTTAAAAACAAAAAAAATTTGCCATGGATTCACACCACTACATTCCACAGCTTGCTGATGTTAATTACCAAAACCCCTACTGATGTTAATGGGTTTGGATAGAAGCCACTGGAAAATAATGATTAGACTCATGCAGGGTTATCATTTTCACACATGGATGAACATCATAAGGATGCAATAATAAATGCAACCGGTCCTCTCTATTAGAAAATATTTTGCAAGATGAAGGAATTTACAAAACTACTTGAAAGATTTTAGTATTTCTTGACTTGGTGTTGGTGGTTAAGCTTTGCTTATCTGGCCACCTTTAAAAGGGAGGGATTAAAGAAAGGCCTTTCTAGAGTTGTCACTCTTTTCCCCAGCAGAAATTCTGTGCTATTAACAGCTGCATTTTAGGCAGAAATTCAATTGCTGCTACTTTACCCCTCATGGTATCTCCATGCCAGCAAAAGCAGCACCTGTTGATTCCTGCTCTCCCAACAGACTTTCTTATCAGGAAGAAGATGGCAGTCTTGGAACATTCAGAAAAAAGTTAAGCAAATATTCAACCCTTCTGCTAAACAAGCAGCATTTTGGATTGAAAAGCAGAAATTGAAAGAGAAGGGCAAGCAAACGATTCCTTAGTTGAGCACCATTAAGAGTCTCTCACCAGGGGAGGCTGAAGAGTTCTCATTTCTAACAGATGGTCTCATAACATTTATTCCAATAAAACAGAGTGCAGGACTTGTACAATAAAAATGCTTAAGGACAATGCTGCAAATCTAATCAATTCTCTCATAGTGATTGTCTGCATTCTGGGGTTGCTTCCACACATTAGCATTTACTCTGGAACAGCCATGTTCTCTTCACTCACTTTTGATGGGGCAACTACATGGCAGAGATATAAAATCATTATCATCACATGTTTTCACTCTGGTTCTTCTATCTTTGCTTTAAACCACACAAAACCATTTTGTTGATGCTAAAGGGAACAGCAGTAGTCTCCATGCCTGTAGACCATCTAAACACAGCCTTCCTCAACCTAGCAGGCTGGTTGGGAATTATAAGAGCTGTAGTCCAACATATGTGCAGGGCACAAGGTTAAGGAAAGCTGCCAAGCATTACTCTTCCCCAATTTTGTCATGTGCAGGGACTGGTGGTGGAGGGCAACAGGGAGAAGAAAGGAGAGCAGGTCCAGCACTATCATTAGGCAGTCTCCTCAGGCAGTAGATGCTGGAAGGCAACAGTAGATTTTTGGAGGAGAGCTCTGGAGACCACATGGCTTGCCCTGTGCTCTCTAACCTAGTTTTGGGTGTGGTGAATGCTCTCTCATTCCCTGTGTTGAAGCAAGATTCAACATCTAGCCCATCAGTTTTTCTAGCTGGAATGGGAAGGATGCTGTCTTGTCTTTTGCCTCCGGCGACAAAATCTCTTGGACCAGCCCCAGGTGGCATTCTCTGCTAGTGATAACTTAGCACTACTCATTTATTTCATCTTATCTAGCACTTTTCTTACCAGATACATTTTACAGTGTGTTGGTTTTACAATTTGATATTTGGATGTTCACCATAACACACATACCTGCTTCTCCCCAAAGTGTGGAAAGTCAGTTGCAATCTCACATGTAGCTTACAATGAAAGAGCCAGGAACTGTCAGTTTAGAAGCACCACTGGAGTCTTCAGACCATGTCTGAACAGTTCTGCTTGCCAGAACTACATCTCAGGAACTGGTTGCTACTGGTAGCTATGGGAACATAAGATTATTGTGTGTCTTTGATAAGGAAAAGGATTTATCTTTATCTGTCTTTCCTGACATATGGAGTGTTTCATTCAGAGTATGGAAGATGCCAATGTACTTTTGCAGTACATACAAAAAACTTCCTAACTAGTTATTTCTATTTCTCAGGAATGCCACAGGACTTCTCATTACAAGGACCATTCCTACTTTCTAGAATTTAAAAAGTTGGGTGAATCCTGGTTTGGTCTCTGTGGGAACTGAGATGGTATAAGTAAAGATGAGAAGAACTAAGTCAAGAATGATATGGAGGAATGGAAAGTTGCGGTAGGACTTGATATTCCATGTGGTTGGTACCTACAGAGGATAATCTCCCCACATGGTTAGAGGCGCCATGTGGGATGTTTTCCAGAAGTCATAACGCAAAAAGTAGTTCATCCACACACTGTAGCATCTAATTGCTCAGCTGAAGGAAGAGTGGTAAAAGTTTGGGACACCACAGGGAACAGATGCCATGCCTTCAAAAAGCAACCCTCCCTACTGTTTCAAGATAGAAACATATCCTGAAAGAAAACGGAAGAGGGAATGCACACACAGGTTGACTAGCTGGTGAGGCTGCAAGTTGGCTAATTTGTTGCATTATAATCAGCATATGCTACCCCCGCCCCTTTTTGTGGGTCAGACTGAAATGTCTGCCCATAGCTCATAGCATAAAAGCAGTAGCACCAAGCAAACGCAAGTAGAAAGGGTGCCCAGCCACAGAGGGCAAGTTGGTGGGGTGGTAGTAGCAATAGCATGCACAGGAAGAAGGCTGCCCATCTATTCCTTTGCAGTTGATTGGCTCCCAGTCCAGTGTATGGTCATGGGACAAATTTCCAATTTCTCCAGTTAGCAGCATGGCCCATTCTAAGCCATTAATTCAGGTTGGCATGTTAATTGTTTATTGGCCTGTTGTAAATGGCAGTTAATTTGAAAAACAAGTCAACACTAAATGATGATGCTGTATGACTTATCAGAGCTGAACATAAATATGCCTTGTAGTTTGGAAGTCTCTTTATGGCTCCTAATACTGGTTCAAACTATTTTAAGTGACAGTGGAGCACATGAGAATGGAGAAGTCTAGGTCAACATTCTCCCTTGTTGAACTGGGTCCTTTCTTGCTCTGTTGCATATTGACTGCCTTCCAGATATAATATCAGATGCAACTATAAGATGAATATGGATGGCCAATATCCCAGTGATAACTTGCCATGTAATCACTTTATAAGCCGGTGATCAATATGATCCTGCCAAGTGGGGAAGAGAGTGTCACTGCTCCTTCACCTTCCAAAATCCGAGAGTGGGAATATGGTAACATTGGCCTCATCCCTTGGCAGGTCATGACAGAGAACCCATGCAGCAGCCTTCTCCAATTTGGCACGTTTCAGATGTATTGGACAACAACTCCCCAAACTCCAACCAGCATGGCTACACCAGCTCTTGAAGCATACTGCCAAGGGAAAAAGATGATCTTGGCTGCACTGGCTGGCAGTGATGGGAGTCTGGTCCAAGATGTCGGGAGGTTAGGGAAGACTGCTGCAGAGACTTTAATGTGCACTCCACCACAGTCTCCCATGCATCAGTGCCTGGTCTGGGTAAGATTCTCTTTACCACTTAGCAGGATATGAACAGTAGAATTACTCGAGAGTGAAAGTGCTCACCCAAGAGTAGTTTCACCATCTGCTATGGGCTCAGATAAACAGCTTATGAAGTCGCTTTATCATTAACTATTTGTAAGAGCAGAAAACGCTAAAAGACCAATTCCTCACAAGACTTATAGTCACTAAGGCTGCCATCCTATGCACACTTCCTTGGGAGTAAGTCCTATGGAATTCAGTGGGGCTTCGACCTGAATAGCCATGATTGGATAGTGGTACAAGCGAAGCGTGAGTGCGAAATCTGCACGGGCCATTGGAAACAAAAATAAAACCTTCAATGGCAGCATCCGGCACCCATAGTAAAAGGTGGACTTATTAGGGCAGCCTACTGTTGGTGGGGAACAGCTGCAGATTCTGTCAAAATAGTTGTGTGTTCTTAACTGAACCTGACTGAACAAAATCTGTGCAATCTTCCAGGTATTTCTGCTAGATGGAGGCCACCTCTCACAATATTCCGTGGGAGAACATTGCATGTAGTCCAGACAGCCTCATCTAGTTAAGACACTGTTCTAGAAGTTATTCCTTCCAGGTACTGAGGATAAATTAACAAAATAACCTAGGTGGCAGGCTTTGGATTATTAAAAGAATGTACAACTATGCTCTCTTTTACACTGAATGAGCCTAGAGTGATATGAATAAAACTAAATCAAACATTGCTTAACTTGATATATTGTGCAGTGCCATCAGTGCATACAAGAAAGTGGTTTAATCTGCTAGTTTTCAGCAGCAGAATCTGGCAGGAGAGGTGCCGGGTCATGTAACATCTTCTTTGTAAAACAGTTTAAATCATCGTCTTTTCATGCAAGTTCCAGAGTTCAGCAGTACAGTAAGCCAGTTGCCAACAGCATCTGTCTGTTCCAACAGATGCTGTTTTGATTGTGGACAGAATTGCACTGGTCCACAGAAGATCCCCTTGACCAACTTTACCAGAGCAGTCTGTGGCGAGACCATGCCACTGGGGCTCCCACAGGGCAAAGGTGGCATCTGAATTAGACCTAAGCTCATGTTTCACCTTGGCTTACACTGGGAATCACTGCTGAAGCACTTGTGTCACTATCGAAGAGGGTTGAGGAACCTCCTTCAGCCAAGGGCTGAATGTCATTTCAGAAAAGCACTAGTGGTGCCTGGGACTGAAGGAAAAGGGGGAAGGCCAAAGGTGGGAGAGATGGGCCCAAACACACACACAACCAACATGTTGTACTTTAGGGATCTATTGCCAGTAAAGTCAGTCTTAGGAGAGGTGTTTCAACCTTTTAGAATGGGGAAACTTCACAAAAGCTGAGATACCACTGAAAGATTGGTGGTTGGGGAAAGGAGTGTGACCATCTGGGGATTTTGGGAGGGTTGGATTTGGCCCTTACGCCTGAAGTTCTTCGTGTCTGCTACAGAACTAGAAAACCAACCCCTGTCTTGCTTTATTTTTCTTGCTGGTCTGGGTTAAAGCAATAGCTGCATTAATTAAGCAAGGGATGGGGAAATGGAGGAGGGAAGACTTGACAACAAAAACACAGCAATTCACTGGTAGACATGTGCAACTGCAAGCCGTGAATCTGCATTCAAAGAATTTGGCTGATATGCAGCAGAGCAAAGGAGAGCTGCTTTGGCAGCCTGCTTTGTCGACGGGTAAAGCCAATTAATTGCAGTGGCTGTGCCCACATGATAAATATATTACACCAGATTCCTTCCTTAATGGCAGAAGATGTTCGTTCATTCCTTGGAGAGACCATGGCTACATAATTGTGGCTTGGCATCCTATGGGCACTTCCTGGCTCTATCCATATCATCCCCCTGACAATAAGTGAGGGGGAAACAGAAGGCAGAGCAGTTTTGCACTATGTATACGTGTCATGTAAAAATGTTACAATGAAAACCACTGTTGAGATTTTGAACATGGACACTTTTGTGCCATGACTCCCTGGCAAGCTTTACCGGTCCTTGCACCATCACAAGGCTTTCATAGGTGCCTTTCTCAGATCCCCCCGTCCCTGTTTGCTCTCCAAAAAATGTTTGCACTTAAGTATAATACATTATCCTATATGCAGTTTCCCCCCCACCCCTTTGAAGGGACAGAACGATTCAGAAGAGTTTCGCTTTCTTCTTCATGTCATTGCGCCTCCAGAGAGGTAACTTATCAAATTCTTGTATCGTCATGCCAAATATGTCTTGAAAAACCTCAGGTGCTAAGTGACGCTAAAGAAAGATAAGAAAAGGGGCAGAAATCAGTCCAAAGATATAAAACAGGAGAACTCTGTCCTACAGCAGTAGCATTTGTCCTTTTCAGAGCTGGGAACCACCCTTTGCCGAAAAATGAATTTGGCCCCTCACGCCTTATTTTGCCTTTATGAATGCAGTACTGCTTTTGTGGTTCACCTTTTGTGACCCAGTGAGTCTAACCAACCTAGTGAGGGCTAATAAATGACAGGAAACTCATTTAGCAGCCTAAGAGTGATCATAGCAGAATTAAGGGAAAGACCATAGCTTCAAGGGGAAGGCTCTCGTTCCCCTCCGCCCCCTCAGTACATTCCTCTCCCCATGAGCATTTTAGCTGCAGCACCAAGGGTTGCAATTCTGATCTGACAGATACCTATCCTTTCTCATCCGTTTTAGGTGTCTTATATTCAGTACTCCATGCTTAGACAATAATATGTGTCCGTACACCAAGGAAAAGGTGCAATCTCAGGGCTTTTTTTGTTATAGAACACACCGGAACAGCAGAACAGCGTTCCAGCACCTTTTTTGATGGATTTTTCCAAGCGATTGTGAATCACCCTGTAGGGCGTAGCAGATCAGAGGCAGAAATCATTAACATAGTGCCTGCGGGATGTTTGTGTGTTGGTCCTGATTGTGAGGGCGCTGCTCAGATTGGGATCGTGTGGTTGCGTGCTGACTTAGCTGGCAGTGACCACTGTGTAAAAGTGTGACCCCAAGACGTGAGTTCCGGCACCTTTTTTTTTTTTTTTTTTTTACAAAAAAAGCACTGTGCAATCTTATACATGTGATCCTTGGAATAAATTCTATTTTGCTCAGTGGGTCTCACTTCAGAGCAGATATGTGTAGACTTGTGGTCTTCATTTCTCTTATTAATCCAATTGGTATATTCCCTATTTATTTATTTACATATATTTATAGGCCGTCTGTAATTGCTGAGGCCTTCCTAGGTGGCTTACAAGTTAAGCTAAAACATGCCAGAGAAATGAATGCTTCCTTTCTTAAGCTCCGTTAGAAATCAGAAATAAACCCCATGTCTCTGCAACACCTTCTAGCAACAGAGCAGCAGCTTGTACAACAGAACTTCTCTTACCTCCAGCCTGGTTCTATCCACCTCTCTTAGAATTTTACTTCGCCCTCTGTTGGTCACCATGAGCATTTCATATGGGAATATCTGTTAATAGTATAGAAGAGGCATTTATGTAGAATTTATAGTGCTGCAAAAAGACATAATTAAGCTTGCACAACGTGGTCATTGTTGGAATGCAGCTGCAAGTTCACAAAAAGTCTACTTTAAATAGTCGAATGCAAAATCCACAATTTTCCAGTCTGCCTCAAATTACTTGATCGTTCCTGAAAAAAATAGCTCTAATACTTTGAATGATGTCTGCACCAAGTTTATTTTTATACACAACACTAAATATAATGTAAGGAGTGGGTGGATTATGCACTTTATTCTATTCCTCTGAGTGATTGGGCATTGATCCCTGATTGGCATTCCAGTTTTTGGTTTGTTCACAGGGAAATAAGCATTTCATAGAGAAGCCATTCTAATTATGGTGCCTCCAGCACTGTAAGTGCAAAGGTCTTGTGCATCTAGGATCTCTTCTTCCTCAATGACTTTTTTTAACTGGGGGCATCAGAATTAAAATGAAGGAAGAATTGGTGGGAACACACAGGAGGGTTTCAGGGACCCAAAGAACGTTCTGAGAAACAGCCAGGGTGATTGCGGAAAAAAAGCTTGCTTGAAAGTACCTCGAGTCCCAGCAACTATCTTTCTTCTGCACCACCTTTATCCCACTGAACTTTTCTTTGAATCTTAAAAAAAAATCCATTCATTTCCCCACATTTCTACAAATTCATCAAGATCACCTCACTAAGTTGTGCTGCTAACCCAATTGTTTTCTAAATATGTAGAGTGCTTCCAGACAAGGATTTCATCACACCATCTTATTCATGGAAGGTAATGGCTATTTTTGTCCAAATAATATTATCTTTCACTCTAAGCACCCTGCTCCGTGTTTCCCCACAATTTCTACCACTTTTCTGATGGCAGAAAATGTGCTAAGGAGAAAATAAACTAAGTGACTTCCAACTGGTAGCACCAGGAAGCTTCTATTTGGAAGCATCCTTTGGAAAAGAGCCCAGGAGTGATCCAGAGATGTATTGGCATCTCTTTTCTGGAAAATCAGTAATGGTGGACAGTCTTCTTCCAGATGGCAATTCTATACATGAGCACTTAAAAATTTCCACGGAGCTCACTCCCAGATAAGTATGTATAGAATTGCAGCCTCAAAGAACCGTTGTGTTTCAAGATGCAGGTTTTCTTCAATGTACAGACATAGGGGGGTGCTGGACGTGTCCAGAGATGCACTGCTGATTCATAATAATAAAATTCTGTCCCACAGCTTGACATGTACAAAAACATGCAATTGTTGTAAGTATTTCTAAATAAAAATTACTTATTTTAGAAAGATTACCCATGCAATACAACTTATTTTTGTGAAATTCTCTAACCAAATAGGATGTAAATTCATTCCCCCGCAATGTAAGTCTATAATTGTATTACTAGGCAAATTCAGAATTTGTAAGTGCAAGGTCCAAATTTGTTGAAACTGCATAGGTAGCATAAGGCTTGACAAACTTCCTTGAATAATCTAGAGTGGGACTGTATACTGAACTGGCTGAAGCCTGAGCCATCCATTACCCTTTAGACTGTTTCAGGTGCTTTTCAAAGCAAAGTGGGCTCACCCTACGAAGTGACCAGAATCAGAGTTGGATGCTGCACAAGGGTTCTTTCATGATTCAGCTTCAGAAAAGTAGACATAGTGCATCTCTAAAAACATTTCTTTCTCTAAATAATGAGGGTGAGGTGGGATGAGGAGATTGAGCAACTGACAGGTTCACTTTCTAATCATACAGCACATTTTACACAGTGCTGTCTGATCACTGCACTTGAGCACGGGTCAAGGATGGCTACTCATGTAATATTTCCAGGTTCCATCTTGGAAAAGTTTTACATGGTTTTAATCACTGTAACTCCCCAGCCTTCTGAAACTTTGCAGGCTTCTTGCTTGCAGACACCTCTATGATGTGTGCCATTGTCATATGAATTGCCCCCCAAAATACACAATGGGGGAAATCAAATCAGCCCCTCCTAAACTTGAGGACTCCTCCTTCCACATAAACTGTTGTACCCAGCCTTCCGAAATGTGAAGGTTTTCTTGCTTACAGCCACCTTTTCTATCAGCGTGCCATGTTCTGTTGCAGATTAATCAAAGAGAGCGGCAGGATTAACCTTTGCAAGATCTTCCATTTTTAGTAAGATTTGAGGACATGGTGGTCCCTTTGTTCTTTCCAGCTTTATTTATTTAGTGCTTTTATATACCATCTCGTAGCCACATGGCTCTCTAGATGTTTTACATAATGAAAACCAACAACATAAAACTTCGTAAGTAAACAATTAAAACTGCAGTATCAAGATAGTCCTCCCACAGAAAGGAAGGAAGGGAAAAAAAGGAAGGCATGTTAGCCTCAATGGGTTCAATTGTAGGTGCCCACATATACATTGTCAAATAAAAGGAAATGCATTACCAAAGAAAAGCACACATTCCCAACAGTTTGCAGATACTAATTTTGTGCATATAGGTAAATTCAGAAACAAATTTACTATCCAATGAATCTCACAAATGAAGAAGGCTCGGAGTACGTAGCCCATGTCTCTGGTCATTCTGCTGCTGTCTAACCTCCAGGCCCTTTAAATACTTCTTTAAACAGGGCTTGTGCTGGGCAGTCCTTCAAAGAAGGCAAAGTGGGAAATGTCCACTGGCAATCCTTCCAAAGGAGGACTATCCACAGACAAGAAGCTGGCAATTCAATTATGGGAACTACTTGCGACTACACTATTGGTTTCATTATCAGCCACACTGTGAACATTTCAGAAGCACAATAAATAAGATTCAGTCATCAATAAACATGTGCCACTTAGTTTATTGTAAGTAATTACTTAAATGTTGTCTAGTATATACAGTTTGGAACAGAATTAGTGGTAAGAATCTTACACTTATGCAATCCATTCCACTATATAACCTTAATTACATTAGGCTTTGTATGTTTTACAATGCAGTCTGAAATTCAAATACAAAACAAAGACAGTCCATTTCACATTCTTCTACTTGACATGGTTTTGGTAAATGCTTTTACAAATACTTCATTTGAATCCAAAATTGGGCAAGTTTCTCAGATTGCTTATTTTCTATTATTTGTAAAGATCACTTTATAAACCAAAGAAATGCAGTTTCAGAGTTTTAATTCATAGTTCATTTACTACTACCAGATACCCATTGATTTTTTTAAAAATAAACAGCACATTCTTCCAGCAAAGTTCAGAAAAATCTCTATTTTGCCATAAATTAGACTGTACTGTTTCTACTCTAGGATTTTCAGTGGCAATAACAGACATGGGAAGTTAGTGTATGTCTGCAGTCTAGGACAGCATATTAAACTTTGCCCTGAGTTTATATGCCGACTCAGCTGCCTAGCTCACTGCTCGTGTATCTGGTACTGGGAAGTACCTCTTACAGTCCAGAGAAACAGAGAGCTAGCCCATAAAGAGTTGCATTTAAAAATGGTCAAGGATGCAAACACGCTTCGAATTATATACTGTCATTTCATAGGCAAACCGACATAACTGTTTTTTGCAAAATGAGTAATGTCTGCACTTGCCTTTGGTTCCAACATGTTAGGCATAGACACTCCTCGGTCCATTCGCATTCCAGGGACATGACCATCTGGGAAGGACTGTATCAGATATAGGTAGACATGAGACACACAGGTTACATGCACACACACACATATAGACAGGGTAAAGGCATTCATGGTCAGTATAGACATGAATTTATACTAAGGCCCCAACACTGAAACCTTTGCATTAGCCAATGGGATATTAATATATTTACTACTTGAACACTCAACTTTCCATGGGGCCTATCAAAAGCATTCTCAGTAGAGACTGAGTAGCAAGTTGAAAAACACCTTTCTGGTCAAAGTAAAGAAAGAAGAGACTTGATAGATCAGATCAAAAGTCCATCTAATCTGTTCCAACAGTATCTAGCCAAGTGCCTACACACACAGCACAAAGGCAAAGGCTCTCCCTTATTTGTCCAATATCCAGGATACACTGGTCAATATGTAGGGCAGTCTTCCTGAATTTCATGTCCTTCAGGTGTATTAGACTGCAGCTCCCATAATTCCCAGCCAACATGACCAATTCATTTACAGGGGATGCAAGTCAACACATCTGCAGGGCATCAGGTTGGGGAGAGCTTATGTAGGAGCCCAGGAATGGTGGAAAATATGGACCCACAAGCTTAGCTGGTCACTTTGTTTTAATTTCTTAGTTAATTTCCAGCAATACTTTATGCTGCATTTTCCCCTTTGCTTTTTCCTCTGCCCAGTTGACAAATAACATAGTAATTTCTTCTCTATTCTAGCCTGTTATTTCCTGTTAATATCATAACACGCAAGAAAAAATTCTTCAGTAATTCCAGTTTTATATGTTGGACGACTCCATGTGAAGTAGCCATGGGCTTTGTGAGCTCAAGCATTTACACCCACCACATCCAGCATTTATTGGACAATATACAGAGCCAAGCCAGTGCCAGTGTTGCAGATCACTTGCCACCTTTTTCTCCCATGCCCATAAACACATGCAGAGGAGGAAAAAATCAGGGAATCATATATGGGAAATGACAAGGGGTATGGTTTCAGAATGAAGAGGTTATGCCTGGACCTCCTGTTGGTTGGAACTAGAGAGATCTGGAAAACCTCAGCAAAGAGAGGATTGCCACATCATGCTCCCTTATCAGTAGTAGGAAAGTTTACCAAGCAAGTTACATAATATGCCCTTTTCACAATGATACAAGTTTACATCATTAAGTTAAAAAAACATGCAGATAAACAGAACTAAGACACTCTTTCTTGTAGCAGATATACAGATGTAACAGAATGGATGCATTGCTGATGGACTCGTTTAGACTCTGTTACTTGATGGAAGAAACTCTGTACTGTACCTGGAAATCTGAAAAGCAAAAAAGGGAAGGGGAGCAAGGAGAAAACACCCCATCAGGATCAGGATGGTAAACAATTTGTCCTTACTTAAAGACTAAATTGCCGGGGGCTTATAACTTGCAAACATAAACTAACTGTTCAGAATGAAACTGATACGTTAATGTGTTACCATTATCTATCATTTGCACAATTCCCTCTGTATTTTAACTCAGTTTTAGTGTACTGAACACATAATAGAAGAGCAATATATTTCTTTGAAATAAAAACAAGAATAAGAACATGCCAGGGGTAATAATGATGTTCACCAAACCAGTATGGGAAGACAAATCCTTTTTCAGCTGACTATGCATACTGTTCCAGGAGTACACCAAAAATGTTCAAATAAACTCAGTGGCTAACTAAAGCTACACAAAGAAGGAAGATCTTACCTCGAGCAGCACTGCTCACATCCCCATAGCTGTTGTACTGACCAAAGTCTGTAGACACTGGCTATAAAAACAGAGAGACACAAACAGAGAGAGGGAGAGAGGGAGAGCACAGCACAGAGATATGACTTACAGCAGTAAGGATTTGCAAAACAAAGTTAAGCACATATCAACCCCCCAAATGCTTTAAGATGGTGCTTAAAATAATGTTAAGGGAGATGAGGTCCAACTCTCTTCTAGTAAGTAACTGAAGAACTAACCAACTTTTTCACACAGAAAAAGCTGGCACTGTGACTTTCTGGCCTGGTAATTTGTACACAATGATCCAAAGCAGTGCTTGAATAGAAATGCTCCTCCATCAAGTCAAGTCTATAGTCCTCTTTGTTTACAGGTGAATAATGCACCCCAGTTGACTTTGACTAGGAGGACTTGATGATTGAGCTTGACTGAGGATGCAAGAAAAGATGCATCTTCTTCTTGCTCATGGTACATATTCTCTAGATGCTTTGGTATAGGAACATAGAAGGCATTTTCCACAGCTGCTGAACTGTTTGTAAGAGGGTAGAGAGAAAAGGAATCAGAACTGGTGTTGGTGTCTCCTTGTAAACAGCATTAAAGACAAAGAGACCTTTTTGAAAATATGTCTTTAAAACTTTATTGCTCATGGGAGTCAACAATCAGCAATCGTCAAAGATTGTTTGAGAAGAGGACAAGAGAAATAAAATAGAAAAACTAAGAGAAAACTAGCAGAAAGACATAATGATGGAAAGAGAATAAATTTAAATATAACCTCAGCAACTTTAAGGATGCAGTCCAAGGATGGGAGAAAGTTCCCTGAGACAACCATACTGGCAGTCAAAGAACTATGAAAGGAGAAGATGGGAAACATGGTGGGGAGCGTTCCCCTACAAGAACTCTTCAGCATTAAGTTTGCAAATGAAGCTCCTCATGCATGATGCACAGAGACCACAAAGAAGAACCTGGGGAGCCACTGACAGTCACTGTTTACAACATTGGCTTAGATTAGGGGAAACAGGAGTATTTTTTTCCAGTTAAGGTTTGATCACACTTGTGGACTCAAACACAACCTAAAATAAATCTCACATCTCTAAGTTTGCAATGTGATTGACACATGTACAATGTATTCAATATCATGCATACATTTAGAAAATGCTTTAATGTTCATATAAATGTTGTATATACAATATGTGCCTGAGAATTCCCACAACTTTTCATGCAAAAAGAAAACAACAACTACCAATGCAGTCTGTCATGAATGCAAGAAGGAATAAGCTTGGAAGTGGAATCTGGTGATCTCCAGTTTTGCTAGAGATTCCTATGCTAACATTCCTATGCTAGATGGACCAACGGTCTGGCTCAGCATAAAGCTGCTCCCTTTGCCCCAAGAGGGGAGAGAGTAACATTTATATTATTTACTTTTTGAAGTGTGAAAATCTTTGCATCTTCAGCAAAAGGCTGGCTGCAAGTACTTTTGGTCCTGAAACTGGAATGGTCAAAGCCCATTCCCCACCACATCAATTCTTACCTGTGGTCTTTACCAAACATCTACTTCATTGTAGAACAGAGAAAAGGTTTCAGGACCACAAAAGTTCAACCTCTCCCTTTTCACAAGCAATGCTGTTTTGAGGTTCAATGAAATAGTATATTTTGCACAAATACCACACCCACACATCATTTCCTTACAAGAGGGGATTTGTTTGCTTACCCTATGGAGTCCGTTTCTTCCATAGCCAGGAAGGGAAGAGGTTTTAGAGGCAGCAGTATGTGAAGCTAAATGGGAAGGAGAAAAAACGCTGTTAAAACACACGGCATTCAAAATAAACACTTTTTAGGAATCAGCTAAAAACACACAAGATTTTCTCTAAGAAGGGAGTTTGCATCCATCTGAGTTTCTTTGGCAGATTGTTTTAACCTTAAATCGATGTGTACCGTATCATCCAAAATGCTACTTGGAGTTTCCTAAAATTTGAACCTAGATCTCTGCTAGAATTGTCCCACAATTTTAGTGTTTCAATAGCCTTGCATTTAAAAAGCTAGATGTTATTACAAGGCAGAAAATGCTTGCTAGTCCTATAACATTGCATGCTCACATATTTGACTACTACATGCTGCTTAAAATTTATCTTTTTTCTGCACATACAAGCCGGGCCAAACACACTTTTATTAGTACTAATATCACCATCATTGCCACCACCATCCGCAATGGATTAGGCAGATGACATAAAACTGGTAACAACTCATGCATAACACAAGGACTTCTCAAACACAGCATTTGCAGCATTCAAGGCCTAATATGGATAATAATATTAAAAACTTTTTAATGCAAAGTATTGTGGGAAGAGTTGACCTAGAGAACACAACTTCCATACGGCAAGTCAGTGCTATTATTCCTGTATGGGGCATACAAGAGCAGAGACAGAAGCTGAAAAATAGCAATTTGCCTAAAGCAACCTTGGTAAATGTATGGTTGAGCTGAAACACGAAAAAAATCCTTTCTCATGAGTTGTATTTATGTGATTTGCTGCCTAGAAGCAGTCAACTGATCTAGGGTAGGTGGTGTGAAAACTCATACTTTTTTAGCTTGATTTTCTCTTACGCTGCTGGCCCTGGACCTCCTGGGTTGTATGTGTAATCCAACATAGAGCACCAATGACATCATACTGAAATTATATGGAAAACACACACAAATACACAGAATGGGAGGGGGTCAGGGAGCTTCCTATAAACAAACAAGAATTATAAGTTTCCTTCTTCAGTGGAATGTAACAGAGTTTGTCTAAAAGACCTGTCTGATGAGCCAGCCCTTCAGCTGCTGTGATCCAAGACTCTGGAATGCACTGCTCTGCTCCCGGAGGCTGATTTCCTTTCTCCATGTGGGAAAGGCTAAAAGGCTATGAGAAGCATAAATATCAACAAGGTGTATGTCACTCTTTAATCATGACTTCATGACCTTTCCTGCTAGCTTTCAAGTAAGACTGATATTGTGGCCTGAACAGAAATCCACATTTTATATGCGCAAAAATCTTATAAGATTGCTCATTATAAAATGCATATCATATTTCTCTTCCTAAATTAATGCATTTTAAAAAATTATACAGACTAAAGTTTTTAAAAATGTGAATTAATCATCAAACCTAGAACGCCATGTAAGACTTATTTTATATTTTGATTATTTTGTTTTATATAGAAAGACAAAATATATGCTGCAGCAGTGGTGAAACGAATCAGATGGCAGCAGCACGCATACAAACAAGCAACTGTTATGGGCTGAGGGGAGGGAAACTATTCCTGTGAGCTCACACATGACTAGAAGCTACATCTGGATGGGTTATTTACACAATTGTTTCTGGCCAGATCTAATAGGAATTTAAAACGCTGCTCATGAATACATCTCATGCTCATGCTTATTTTTCAAAAGGCAAGCTGTGTATGCTGCAGAAGTAAACAGTTAAAATGGTTCTATATTATTTTGAGTAAAAGAGATTCAGCCAGCAACAGAGAGTATAATTAATTATAGGCACTCTCTTTATATTAGGGGAATTATACATTAACATTTCTTCATCTGAGTTTGTCAATAATATTATAACTATTTTCTGATATGAAGAATAGTTACATACTACTGATATCCTTCTATTCCTTTAGAGATGGACATGTTTTTCCAGAAATTAGTATCATGAGCTAGTTTTAATTCTGTTCCCAATTGGATGTAAATTGAACATAAAATTTCTGAAACTTCCAATTCTATGGATTAGCAGCTTTAGAAAAGACATTGTCAAGTAATATGGAAATGCATTTCCTCATCTGATTTGTTTAGTGCATCTCAAGAATCCTGACTCTGGAAGTGTCCACTCTTCTTGCAGGCTTTCTGAGAATTTATTGTGAACAACAGTTAGGGATAAAGTGGCAGACAAAATGCTCCAGATTTTTAGTGCTGGCATCATTCATACCACATGGTTCGTGTAACCAGAGACAGATCCAGCAATAGACTGGCTTTGTTTTAAGCAATTTGCAGTATAATCTCTACAAGATTACTCACAAGTAGATCCCAGTGAGTTCAATGGGCTTAGTCCCAGGCTATGTAATAACTGGGTTGCAGCCCCACTCCATCCTTTCCCGCAGAGCACTCACGCATGCATTCCATGTGTGCTGCTTACATGAATTAACTGGAGAGTCATAACGGCTACTGGAAATGGATGACCTTTCTTTTTCCATCTCTTCTTTTAATATCAACTGTCCCAGACCCGAGTTGAGCTGCAAATGGAAATTGAAAATACTGTGTAAGGTAGGAAAAGGAAATCATGTCATGTTCACATTGGTAAATATGAAGTTTCCACCAACATGATAGCCACCTTCATCAGTTGTTCCTCTTGTAACTGCCGACGCTTCTGAAGCTCCTCTAGGTCTTCATCTCTGCCAGTGGACCTGCGTCGCATGTCTACTACCACAAAACCACAACACAAAGATAATTTCTTGTACAAGTATGTAAAGACTAACGATCAACAAAAGTATTTTCTTAGATTTGCTAGTTGAATGAAATAATCAAATGCTTTGCTAAGCACATAACCATTCTATCATGTTTGCATGAAAAATACAATAATATTGATTTATGTAGAACTCAGTTTTTACTGATTTCCCATTATATGCTGTAAATACTGTGGCTGGAAACTAGTGTTGCAAATTTTGCTAACCAGAGAGATATGCAGATGAAAGTTAGTATGTTGGATGTCAAGAATGCACAAAATAGCATCTTGATCATGCACCTTTCATCTCTGCAAATTTGGTCCAAAGCTGCTATGATAATTTTGCAAGAATGAGCTGTTTTTAAGTGAGGCTTCGAATTGTATCTAAATCTATGCCAGAGCAAAGATTCTGGTGCTGTTCTGCAAACACCTTACACAGGTATATACCTTGTGGGTGACATAATGCTAACAGAAACATGCTGCTGGATTTCAGTTCTTTTTTTCTTTGGGAAAGAAGTGAGAAAAGCCCTTTGGCTTGTGAAAGAGCCTTTCCATTTGCTGAAGAGCACCCCTGGTTCCAAACCCATGTCAGCAAAGTACAAGGAAAAGTATAATGAAGAAGCGGGGGCATCCTCTGGCTCAGACAGATGCATAACTTAGCCTTTGCACTAAAGACCTGGTATTAAAAAGTTGAGCAATTCCATATCCAGTTAAACTGCCAGCTGGAGGTTTGGATTTGCTCAATGACTTAAATGCTAGAAATCAGCATAACTGAAGATTTTGAATTTTGGAACAGACATATAGCATTCCTATTCCCTTCTTTGTCTTAGACTCATTCACTTCTTGGGAATTTGTGACAGTTCACTAAGTAGAAGCTGAGAATCTACACCATTTTACAATCTATACAGTTTTCTTATAACTGTAAGCATTTCCAAAACAAAAAACATGAATCAATTGTTAAGGACTTCCAAAGTTCTGAAAGGATTTGCAGGACAAACATGGTTAGCTGTTGGAAAAGGATTTGGCCCTAGCTCTGAAAAGCTTGGATAGTTGATTATATCACAGTTCCAGACTGCAATCCTATACACACATATTCACCATCATGATACCTTCAAGATGTGCTGGAATACAACTCTCATCTCCCTTTGGCTAGCTAGGGATAATGGGAGTTGTAGACAAAGACATCTGGAGAGCACTCAGATGGGGAAGGATGCCATACACACTTCCTTGGGAGGAAATCTCATTGAACTGAATAAGTCTTATGTCTGGGTAGACATGCATAGGATCAGAGCATTGATTTTTGTCTGTAAAACTGGAATAATAATAACCTAAGCAGATACTCCAGTCAAAAGGGAATATAAAGCACTTTGAAAATTAGAAGTGCTATATAAATTTAGGAGGTAGTAAAATTTAAAGATTACTGAATTTTTATAAATTTGATTACTTTGAGCAATTTATATATGCATATATTTGAATACCAGTAGCTGCTTTCAATAAAGAACAGCAGCTTTGGGAAGGCTCAGTTTTCAGAAGGTTACAGCAGGCATGGGCAAGCATTTCACTCTTGCATTCCATATTTCTGCTGCAACATACCACTAAATTTGTGTTTTTCCACACAACTTCCTAAAGACAGTTTCCCACTTCTAAACACTCCTGGAGAAGAAAAACAATTTGGGAGGGAGAGACAAACTCCAGTGGGAAAACAGTAGGTGAGCAAAAGGTTGAACATCTTCTTTCTCCTCAAACTGTTTGTTTATCCTGAAAATTGCTCCTGCTCCTCCACAAACTACTGTTTCTTGTCACAAGCCATTAATGAATTATCAAGATACATACATATGCACCTGGTTAAGCCCAATGAAAACAGTGCCCCAGGTCCTCTTGGTTTTGAACATGTAACACATACTGTTAATATTGTCAAACTCAGTGTATAGGAGGACTGGTAATTTGCTTCTTATATAAATAAATCTAACCAGCCAATTCAGGTTTCTAGCAAAGCAAACACATTTCATGCCAGAAGAATGGATAGCCTGATTTTTGATAATATGCAAATCCTTGCCGTTGGTCCAATTTGGAGATGTCAGGATGAAATTATTTTAGCTATCAGTTTCATATGGTGAAATTAACGACTTCATGCATCATAATATGGTCAGTGCTGGAATTTATCCTTCATTAGCAAGCGAACCTTTGTCCTCAATTGTGGCATAGTATAAATAACATTTTAGATACATTTTAAAATTGGTATTCAGAAGATATATTTAGAAAGGAGAAGGCTCTTCCCATGGGGCTGACATGGTAAACTCTCTGAATATCAACATGATTGTGTATACCTGACAAAAGACAACAGGGAACCAATGGAGTAAAATAAATGCATGCCCACTTTCCCATGCTTGTGAATCTGGCTTTAGTATACAACAGGTAACCCAAAGTTACTCCTGAAGATCATGGGTAATCCCCTGGGCAAAAGAATGACATGGCATAGACAATGGTGAAAAAGAATGAAAAACAGCATGAGAAATAAATGTCTTAAGGCAAAATAATGTTTGGAAATGGGGCACATGAAATGTCATTTATTTAGAAAGTTACTTCTATGGTGACTGTCCATCAAGAACTCTACAGAAGTTGTTTTCTACAACCAGGGCCAGGCTAAGACACTTTGCTTCCTGAAAGAGACAAGATGCCCCCTTCCCGTTACATGGGCAAAAACTGATCAGGCAGATGGTTTGATGTTTCAGCACTGCTGAGAAGACAGCATCCTCCACCATGCCTGAAGGCAGTAGACCAGTTTAGGGATGCCAGACACTGCTCTCACCTCCAACTTCTTTCCAGTGCCAACCCACCTAGCCCCTGGCTCAAAAGAATGCAGGAATTCAGTAACAGCAGCTCCAGGGTGTGCCGCATGTGCAACACTTACATACGCATGAAACCTGGTGGAGCATCTACCTGCTCACTCCTTTGGGAAGATTGCCCAGGGGTACAGACAGTGATGTGTTGGGAGCTGGCAAGCAGATGAGACATCCAGGACAACACAAGCAAGCTCTGCTGCCAGGTGCCTGCTTGGGAGGGAGGGTATGGCTGGCGGAGCAGGGTGTGAGGGCTCATGGGAAAGGCCCAGAGCCATTTGCTGCCAGAGGCAGCTGCAACACGGAAGGACTGGCTCTGTGAATCCTAATGTGAAAGAATGAGGGAAAACCTTTAACCAGACTTAATACAGAATGCAAGGTGTAGCATTGCCTTTAGAGAGGTTAACAAGAGAAGAATCATTTGCAAGCAATGCATTAAGGCCAGCGTACCTTGCCTTTGCAGTCCAATGCACACAGCCAGCAGAATATTTTTGGCCATGAATTAGGGGATGATGTAAGCAGGTACATCCAGATTCTTCCCTTGTTCCTTCTTGGACCATGTGCTACCAACGATTCAAATCCTTATTTTAAACTCATTGAATTCAAAAATTGCTTCAGTGTTTGGAGGCCAAAACTTGTTTAAAAGGGAAATCAAGGAGAACACCACATACACCCTGGTGATATTTCTCTCCTCTGAAAAAGCTCCTGGGCTAATACCTGCCACTCAAATGTCTGTATAGTTATAAGGGGTTTAAAGTGAAGAATGACTAGGAGAAAGCTCCTAATGGAGTGTGCACCCCTTTGGAAGGCAGACTTCAGAGAACTGAAACCCAACAGACAGTTTTTAGATTATAATTCTACTCCCCTCCTCACATGCTATTAATTATGGGTTAGATCAAAAGGCAGCCATACTTACACCAAATCCAGTGTAATCAATGGGACTCCAGTTAGTCATGGCTAACTGAAGTCCTATTGATTTCAGTGGTTCGACTCTTAAGCATGACTCAATCTGGGTTCAACCCTAAATTTTAAGAGCAGCACCAATTAAGACTCTTAAGGATCAGGTGCAAATGATTTCAGTGTCCCTAAATCTGACACTTTCCAGCATGAATAAATCTACATTTATTTATAGGTAGGAGAAGCTGTGTGTTTGCCCATGTCCCCTGTTCCATACCTACAGCCGCAAGTGAGGGAGGACCTGGCCAGTATTCTGTCTCAATCTTTGGAATCTCGTTGGGTGCTGGAGCGTGGGCTGCTGGGAACTTGGAAGACTTGATGATATCATCGGTAGGCTTGTTCTGGGCTGCCAGAGCAGCTGCATCTAGATGGCAATCAGGGGGAACTTAAACTATCAGATTAAATTGCTGTATTACAGCCTACATCAATGCTATGGTTCTTTTGCACGTCAAGTTCTCTCACAATTCAAATAATTAATATATTCCACTGGCTTTCCATGTTCTCATTTAGCAACAGATCAAACCACTCCTTAATATCTCCAGGCCGAAGTTTTAGTCTCAGTCTCTGCATTAACATCATGAGTTTCACAGGAGCTGCACCCTTACAGGGTGCATGCAAATGCAGCATTAATTGATGTGTCTGTAGACCTTTCTGTCATGGAGCAAGCCTGGTTTCTTCCTACCCTCACAATGTCAGTGGCATTCATACTAATAATTTGTGCTTTGGAGAGGCTCCACCAACCCCTTGGTTAGCTTTCAAAGCCCGACATGATTTTGACTCATTGTAATGCAGGGGTGGAAAGCCTGTGGCCCTTGGTCTAATTTGAAACAGGTCAACTATCAGGCAAATGTAATCTTTCCCTGCCGCAGCACCCTGCTGGGCTGGCATGAAGAGGAGAAAGAAAGAAAGAAAGAAAGAAAGAAAGAAAGAAAGAAAGAAAGAAAGAAAGAAAGAAAGAAAGAAAGAAAGAAAAGAAAGAAAGACACAAAGAGTTTGAAAGAAGAAGTAGCTATTAAAGAGAGAAGAAAGGAAAAGGCCATATTCTGTTTTGGCTCTGGCCCCATCCATTGGTGGCATGTGCCAAATTAGCCATTTTTCTTTATTTTTAACGATAGCATAATAAAAATAGTTGCAAAATAGTTGCAAAAATGGAGGGGGGAGGGGAGAGGTGAGTTAGTGTTATCACAGGTGCACAGCCAACAGCTGAAGCAAACTTGCAGGACCAGTTTCCCTAAACTCAGTCCTGGAGAGAAAATTGTTTCTTTAAATTTACGTAACAGTACCTGCACCACACAAATAAAGCAATATCAATATTTCAGCTTTAGGATCAAATGGTATGTGATGTTAATTGCATAGGCACAGCTAAACCTATTTTTCTCTCCTCAGTGTAACTATGTGCAGTCCCAACTTCAATCATGACCAGCATGCGCTGGGAGGAGAGGATTAAGCCTCCAACCCCCATTTCCCCTGACATCCCACCCTGTGGGGATATGAGAGGGTTTTAAAAAAAAAAGAGGCAAAAGCATTGACTCCACTAGAGCCTTTTTTAATCCATGGAGGTCATGGGGGTGGGATTTTACAGAAAAAAGTGGCATAGGGAAGATTTCATCCTTCCTTCCTGGAACATGCTGATCTCAGTTTGATTTGGGTGGATGCAGATACATAGGAGTAAAGAAAAATATTAGGCTAAACCATACCTACATAATTATCAGAACATGCAATCTGGCCTTAGAATAGTTTGAAAAAGTGTAAGCTCATTACACATAAGTTTGTCTTTTCTTTTTAGCAACAGCCTTTATCAGGAGAGTTTATGGATATCAGTTTTCTTGCAAGTTCTTTTCAATAGAACATAATTCAGAGTGTATTTCTCATCAAAATCTTCCTGCTTTAGAATGTCATTTCCTGACCAAACTCATTAAATACTTCTCAACAATCCAAATGAGTCATTAGGTAACTAGAAGATAATTAACTTAATTTTGCTTAACCATGGGTGCAAAGCCATGGTTAGCTAAGCTACGCACAACTGAATGTGTAGCTTCCCAACTGCCTTACCATTTTCACTTTTCATCCCCACAACTCAAGGACACCCTGCTCCTTGGAGCTATTTGTGAACATGGTAATTGAGATTACTGAGGGACAAAAACCAGAGTTTTAATCCAACAAATCACAGGGTGGAAGGCAACACCCTCAGAACCCATGGATTGTCATTACATGCAAACTGAGTTATCTCAGGGTTCATGCAAACAACAGAATCCCTGTTTGATACTGATTCCAAAGTAAGGTGTAATTAATGGTACCCAATTTATACAAGCAATGCACTAGAAGTCATACCTTCATGATGTGCTTGGAAACATCAAAAGAATGCACCCAACTGCAGTAATATCAATATATCCATGAAAGCTTGATGGTCCATTCAGGAAAAGTAAAATAACATTGGCGCCAATTTTTCCCTATACAAAATAACTGTGCAGCTCCACCTTTAGCAGTTAAGTATTAACAGTAGTAGTATATTTCTATACTACCCAATTGTCAAAGCACTGTTTCAATTCTCAATTACAAAATGTTAGGCTGATTCTACTGTCCAAGAAGCAATTGACAAGAGGAAGCTAGAGAAAGCTATGAAGTTGTTTTCCAATTTTTTTTTTTTTTTTTTTGGCTTTCTGATTTTAAATTTCAAAGGGCACAATCTGATAAGAATGCCCATAAGCCTCTGAACTCAGAGGATTACAGGCCCCCTAGGCAGGGCAGGAGGAACACGGTGGCTGTCTTTGCCTCTTTGCTCCTTTCACCCTGTAGGTCAGCTAGATGGCTAATTTCAGCCATTTAGTTGTGGCACTGCAAATGGGGAGTGAAAGGGGCTTGAATGCCACCAGAAAATAGATCTGGCCTCTTTCTCTTCCCCTGGAATTTCTCCTGGAGCCCTCCAAGGACCACCTCAATGAAGCATCCAGTGCAGTTCTTTCTGCACCAGCTGAGAGGTGCAGGGCAGGACTCCAAGAATCCCCAGCTTTGAGGTTGGGCCTCTTTCCTAGCCTTGGATCTGGGGATCTGAGAGATCCTTGGGCCTCAATACTGTCTTTTCTCAGATGTCACAGAATGAGCTCAACCACAAAGGCCTATTTTAGGACATGTAAATAAGTTCTGTGGCCTCAGGCTTGCCCCAGAAAAGAAAGAGTCAATGAAGACATGGATTGTATAGGTGTTACTGGAAAATTAGAAAGCATTAAGCCTTTTTACATTATCACTTAAAGTGCACCTCTGTTGCGTTTCAGCATGTGTATGACAGTCCAAGTCTCCTTTAAAGATGACAATACTGTCACAAACCTAATGAAAAATAGGACAATCTTGTCCACCTCCTCTGTTGCCACACCTTTAAAGTGTGACTTAATTTCATTTTCTAGCACATGAGATAATAAAAAGTACAAAGAATAAGCAAGTAGAGAGGAGTTTGCAAAATGGCAAGGGTAGTGCTGCAGGACTGAGAGAATGCAAGAGGGTTAACCTCTTGTGGGATTCATGGCTATGGTGGAATTGTGCACCATCTATTTAAAAGGGACATGGCATGAGAGCAGGGACACTGTGGATAGAGGCTGCAAGAGTTGCAGGGGAATACAGGAAGTCCCCTACATATGCACTTTCAAAGATGCAAACATGCTTTTGTATACTTTACTGTAATAATTGAGAGTGGTGACTCCAGCAAAGCATAACATGGGTCACACCAACCTAACGGTAAAGCCATATGAGGAAGAACTCATCAGAACAACAAGGTGCATTTCCACACTGCCACGTACCCAGAAGTATAACTTCTGGAAGTCCTCCAGAGACATCAACCGAAGTCCTGCAGTGTCATTATAAGCCTATGACAGTACAGTACCATATAGCTTATTGTGTTAGTTGGTTACCTAGGCTAACTTTGTTGGACTTACAAACGTGCTCTCATTCATATGTAGGGGACTTCCTGTATAGGCAGGGCAGTGTGGCACATGCTTATGACCTGTTGGGGGTCAGCTAGTTGGCTACTCCGGGAACAGAAGGCTGGGCTAGATGGCCCTTGGTCTGATCCACCCTGACTCTTCTTCCCAGGTGCTGCATCTGAACAGGATCCCCAATTTTGTAGGAGTCTTGACCGTATGGACCGCCTATATGCATCTAACCACTTGTGCACAGGCTCCTCTTTGCATATGTGATGCTAAATGTACATATATTAAAAGGGGTGCCTGCATCACGGTCCCTCTTCCCCTCCCCCATCATGCATTTATGGCTACTCTGCAGTAACAGAGGTCAGTAACACACAGCAACTACACAGAAGTTAGAGTAGCAATAAATGTGCTATCTGAGACAGGAAGTATCACATTTCCCAGCTACTGCTTCAGTGATGATGACACATTTTGAGGGAAGAACAAATGAGAAACACATGTCTGTTTATTGCCTTTGTGGGAAAACCCTTGTGCTTGAAAAAAGAAGGGAAAAGAAGTTGTAATAATTATTGTTCAAGAGGAGGACTATCAATAGAAATATCTCCTGCCTGAGATTAAATGACATGAGACAGAAGCTGAAAAAGCGTTTCACACCCCTCTCATACCAAAGAAGAGGGTATGTATGCTGAAATTCCCGGCAAACTGCAAAGCTCTAATGGTTAGGTTTACTCAGTCAGGAGCAGCTACCATAGCTCATTACTCAGGGGACTACAAAAGTGTGACTTCGAACAGTACTTACGTATTAGAATGGATGAGGTCAGTGGTAAAACATTCACAAGTTAATGGGAGGTGAGTAGACATAATAAAAATCATAAAGAAATAAAAATAATGTTAAGGAAAAATTAAATGGCATGATTAAAAATAATTAGATACAAATAATAATGCCAACCCATGACAATCATCAGCTGTCAAGCAGTCCAACCCTGTTGTAAACTGTAACATAGAACTCTTTGCAGTTACTCTTTGATCCTTGTAGTATGCTTGTTGACATGTGCATTCTCAACAGCTACTTACCGAAAGGTTAAAATTATAACTTCCATTTCTGGATACCATGAAAATGGTATTTTCACCACAGAATTTCCAAAGATTAATGCTAATCCCTCAGAAAATACAGTGACGTTACTGTGGTTGTTAAAAAGGGAGGACTTTCTACAGACTTTCCCTGTTTTGTAATGGGCAGTGATGCCACTCTGTCTCAGGACTGTCTTTTGTGCAATGCTGTAAAAGCAGGTTGCTTACCTGTAACTGATGTTCTTCGAGTGGCCATCTGTGCATTCACACATATGGGTGCTGCGCCTGCGCAGTGCCTAGGCTGGAAGATTAGAAAGCTAACGGTTTATTTTGGCGGGAAAATGCTCCGCTCCCCTCCCCCGTTGCAGTATAAATACAGCGGAGCGTCCGCCATTTTACTCAGTCTTGAAGGCCGACGTTCGCCCCCTAATGTTCGAAAAACAGCATCATAGCAAGAAAAGTCGGTACCGTAGGAATAACACGGAACTGACAGTAAGAAAAACAGTCCACTCACCAACACCATGCGGGGCCGGCAGGTGGGTTGTGTGAATGCACAGATGGCTACTCGAAGAACATCAGTTACAGGTAAGCAACCTGCTTTTCTTCGTCATGGCCTCTGTGCATCACACATATGGGTGATTAGCAAGCTTACCAGACTTGGAGGAGGGAAGGTGTTGTCAGTGAAGAATGGCAGAGAGCACGGCTCTACCAAAGGAACAATCCCTTCTGGTGTGTACATCAAGCTGATAATGCTTGGCAAAAGTACATGGAGTGGCCCAAGTTGCAGCCTTGCAAATATCCTGAATTGGAACCCCTGCTGCAAAGGCTGACGAAGTCGCTACTGCTCACGTAGAATGCCCCCTCGGAAGTGAGGGTAAGTCAATTTTTGCCAATTGATATGCTAGGACTATGGTCTGCACAATCCATTTAGACAGTCGCTGAGATGAGACTGGAGAGCCTTTGTCATGATCAGCATACTTGACAAAAAGTCTGTTGGAATTCCTGAATGCTTCTGTGTGAGACCTATAAGCACCTAACATCCAGCGTATGGAGAGAGCGCTCAATCGGAATCGACGGAGATGGAAAAAACGCAGGGAGGATGATTTCTTGGTTCAAATGAAATGGTGTAGCCACCTTGGGAAGAAACTCGGAGTCCATTCGAAGAATGACTTTTTCCTTGTGAAAGTTCAAGAATGGTGGGTCTATGCGTAGAGCACACAGTTCACTGGCTCTTCTGGCTGAAGTAACTGCAACAAGGAAGGCAGTTTTCCATGAAACTAGGCATAAACGCACTGTTGCCAAAGGTTCAAATGGAGGTTTTGTAAGGGCCTGAAGTACAACAGAAAGCCTCTACGTCGGCATAATAGGTCAAACCAACGGGTGCAAATTTTATAGCCCTTTAAGGAAACAGCGAATCAGGGGTTGAGAAAAAACAGATGACCCCTGGATGCTGCCATGAAAATGCGAAATAGCAGCTGTATAGATTTTTATAGATGAAGGCTTGAGTCCTTCATCTTGGACCCGGTACATAGATTCGTACTGGCGAGACGTCACCTGCGGCTGAGCCGGTTGGTCCCAGGGCTGAACCATTGCCTGGCGAAGCGTGGTAATAAACGGTAGCAGATTGCTCCCCTCGGACAATGTCATACAACCGGTCTGTGCTGGGCCCGGGGCGGTGGTAGGCCTCTATCTCCAGCGACCGGACTAGATGAGAAACCGGTTCCGAGAAAGAAACATGGGGCTCATTCAGGGATCCCGGGTCTTGGGAAGTAATAGCCATGTCCGGAGACGTGGAGTCTACTTCCGACTCGTCCAAGTCTTGATGGTAGCAGTAATGCTCACTGGATGAGGAGCTTTCAGGAGATGGTGGACGTCTGCGTTCCATACAGCCAGAAGTGGACGGTGCCTCTCTCGGGATCGATGCCGAGTGACGGTCCAGAGGAAAAAAGGCATATGGATGGAGTCCACTCCAGGCAGGATAGCCATCATAGCCGTGCATAGACCAGTCATCTGCATGGCGCTCAGATGAACAGCTCCTATGCCTAGGAGGAGAGTCTGGTCCCTCAGTTGGCCCAACAGCAGGCATGGGTGTCGGGGAGTGTTGCCTCGGCGGGGAACCTCTAATTTCTCCATCAGAGATGGACTCCCTAAGCGGTGGCTCCTATGGAGGAGACACGCTCTCAGGTCGAAGAACAGGCCTGGGGGATCCCAGCGGCGTCACCTGCATTGCAGACTGCAGGGCCGGTCCCGAGGGAGTCGGTACCGTGGTGGCAGTCGGTACCGAAAACCCCGACGAACCCGAGCCTCAGTGTTTGGGGCGATTGGGTTTCTTGCCCTTGTGGGCCGCCTTAGCCATCTTTTCTTTCCTTGCCTTCTTATGGCTGGAGGGCCTTTCCGGCTCTGAATGCTTACGCTTTTCCTTTTGTTTGGCTGGAGGAGAAGGTAGCTGTTGCGCTTCTGTTGGAGCAGTGCCTTCATCCGAAGGGAGCTGTGGCGGCGCGGCCGAAGTTGAGGTGGGCGCTTAAAGGGCATGGCCGGGGTAGAGGTGGAGCGCTGCGGTGGCGCAGCAGAGGAGGGGGTAGGCCTTGAGATTAGCTGATCAGATTGAAGCAAGGTCTGGTCCCAAAGTAACTTGAGCAGACGATTCTCCCTATTCTTCCTGGCCTGTTTGGTAAAGGCGGACAATGCCTGTACTTATCAGTCCTATGCCCCTCACCGAGGCAGAGGAGGCATAAGTTGTGCGGGTCAGCGGGAGACATTTTGGAGCCGCACTCACTACACTTGTGGAATGCCGCCCGCTGTGCCATTGCGAAAGAAGGAAGAGATGATAGTACAGAGGGTAGATAACCATAAAGGAGCACGTAGCGAGATCTAAGTGAGAGAGAAGCACACACGAGGCACAGCGAACGGCGGTCGCAGAGACTGAGTAAAATGGCAGACGCTCTGCTCTATTTATACTGCAAGGGGAGGGGGGAGGGGAGGGGAGCGTTTTCCCTCCAAAAACCATTAGCTTTCTAACCTTCCGGCCTAGGCACTGTGCAGGTGCAGCACCCATATGTGTGATGCACAGAGACCACGACGAAGAACAACTATTATTTTGGTATGGGTTTAATGTGTTTTTTATATTGCATTATGTATCTATCTTTGTATGGGATATATGGGAGAAGTTATATTAAATGGTGCAAAAGTAATATATAGCAAGAGATAATGCCTGCTTGTATGGGCATTCATATGGGCACTTCCCCTCCAGATCAAGAGATACATCAGTGCCCTGCCAGTGCATGACCACAGTTCTTGATGCAGCTGCTGATACGAAGAGGGGAGAAGCCTTCTTCTTTACATAAATTCTTATTTATGTCTTTAGAAATTCTTTCTCTCTTTATAAAAAAATCTTTATTTATAAATAAATAATAAATACATGGTTAATTGTAAGGAGGCATGGCAGGGATAGAAGCTGAAGGGAAAATGGGGAAAATGTCTTCTTATGTCTGTCATCTCAGCCCTGTATGAAAGCTTTAAAAATATTTATGTTGAGAACGTACCTATTTCATGATAATAAAAGAGGTGGGGGGGAATGGGATGTAGAAACAAAAAGTTGGCAGAAGCCCCTTTTTGTCATGGTTCTGGGCTTGTCTTTGATATTATGGAGTTCTGAGAAGAGTGCATAAAGGAGCGGTGTGTGTGTGTGTGTGTGTGTGTGTGTGTGTACGCACATGCAGGCAAGCTTACAACTTGGCCATTCATTATTCTCATTGCAGACATTCAAGCTACGCATGGGGCAATCTGTTGTTTAAAAAATTAACTTTTTGTCTTGAGGTCTGTTCTTATGTAAATTGTGGTGATAGTGCCAAATAGGAATACACTGTGTAGAGCATTTATTTGTTTATAAATATTTATTGTTTGTCTTCACTTGTGCCCTGCCAGGGACTAGGTGTACTCCTAGATAAAGCTTTTATTTTGCAATGATCTTGCCTCAAACAAGGTATTTTATGGGGGTTCCAGATGACATCAGCTTCCACCTGAAACCATCTTGGTGCTCTCCTACAAATAATTCTTTTCCTATTCTCTCTCTCTCTCTCTCTCTCTCTCTCTCTCTCTCTCTCTCTCTCTCTCCCCCCCCCCCCCACCCCTCCATTGAGTAAGCAAAGCTGGAATAGGTGCACAGTGCTTTTTCATTAGTAGTGTTAGGAAAGAAATTAAACGTTCCCATCAGTTTCTTAACTGGTTAGGGCTTTCCAACAGAAATATTATTTTCCACATTTCAGAAAATAGGAATGCAAGATCTTTGACCTGATTTTCATTTAGAATGCTGCCTGCTATTGTTTCCCCCTTTTCCCCCTTAAAAAAAAGCAAGCACCTTTCTATTCTGATTTAAACATTAGGCAGAGGCAGTTTACAAGTCTGAAACAAAGGCCAGAAAGACACACATTGCAAAGTTCTTGCTTTCAAGCAGGGTTCTGTGTTGCCAATAACCATTCTGTGGAAAATTACACTCAAAGCATCATGCACAACTTTCAAAAAATATTCTGTTTACATCAGAAAAACATAAAGAGAAAAATTTAACACATTGCTAAGCACTGTGTTCTGCCACACAGGTATTTAATGTATTAGATTGTCCCATTCTGAAGACAGAAAGAATAAGGTTTACCATGCTGTTTGTAGATAGGTGGTTTCCTATAAATATTGATGCCTTGATCTGAAAAAATAAAAAACAAACGCATATGAGTATTTGGACGTCTTCAGTTAGTTATTGGAAAAGGGAAAGAAACCAAACATGAAATTAAAGGATGCTTCCAACCAAGGACTTGGCACAGAAATTCAGAAAGCTAACTCTAATATCACACAAAAGAGGGAGGAATCTCATGAAAATAAAACATAAAACAGATGGAAAAATATCACAGATAGATGACATATAGAGTAGGGAACATGGTGATGTACCTTAGATGTAAGCCATTCACTTCAAATTCTTAGTAGATTGTTAGTGGAATAAATAATTCAGAGGAAATGCAACCAAGGGAAGTAAGAGGAGGAGGAGCAATTTGTGGAGAAAATAGTCTCCCAATTACAACTTGGAAATTGTGCACAGCAGCTCCTTGAAACACATACTTAGTGATGAGGTAGATTTACTTTAAAGGCTTTACATCTTTCATTTTGAAATACAGCCATCTTATTCAAGACTATTTCTCGCTATGCTAATTGCCAACTCATACCACCAAGATCATAAGTTTACTTTAAATAAGGTAATATTCATCTAGCAATATTGCAAATGCAGCCCACTTTTAAAAATATGCTTGAATACATAAACTCATGGAAAGGATATGACAATGCAAAGTATCAGAGAGGATGCTTGGAAAGTTTAGAGGATTCTTAAAAAGTCCGAGTTATTGTTAAACAAAACTGAAATAATCAAACACTCCAAAATATGAGTTTCTTTCACCTAGGTGAACTTGGTAGTCAGAGTAAAATGTGAATGCCATTGAATTAATTTATAGCTCATTTCTATGCAAGATTACTCTGAAGTAAGTACCAATATATTCACTCAGGCTTACTCCCAAGTAAGTATACAGTCTCAGAGTGTTAAGGATAGATATTATTAAGTTTTGTAAAGTGCATCCCTCTTATACTAGACATGCAGTTGCAAGCTTATAAACGTTGCCTGGTTAAAACCTGAAATTTATACATAATGCTCTTAACCATTTACGTTGGAGTACAATGGTTAAGCTTTCACTTTTGGCCAACATTTTTTAGTTATGACCCCCTCCCAGTACACTTTTACCAATTTACGGTGAATCCACTAAGAATGTCTTAGAAAGCCATGACCATGAATGCAAACACTAAGTTACAGCCAGGCACATTGCTACCACTAGGAAAACATCACAATTTGACACATATACAGAAAATGCCACTAAAACTATTTGTTGACAAACAACAGGCACACATGACTTTATCTTTTCCAAATACAGTGGGGCCAGAGAAGCCTATGACAACCTAACTTACCATAGAACAGGATTAATATTGTGTCATCTCAAACTGTTTAAGAAACATTAAGTGCATTTTTCTTTGTCTGAGGAACAACAGTGGTACTTGGCTCACAAACTTAATTCATTCCACGACTCTGGTCACGACCCAACTGGTCATGAGCCAAGTCAAATTTCCCAATAAGGTTCAATGTAAATAAGGTTAATCCATTCTGTAAATATTTTTTTAATCACAAAAATCTGAAGCAAAGTGACAAAGAACAACAAAGATCGTGGCCATCTCCTCCCCCACAGCATGAGTGCGATCACGCCTGTGTTCTCGGCACAAGCATGACCGCAATTGCAGCCATAGACAGGCGTGATCGCAGTTGCACTTGGGCAGGGAACATGGACACGATAGTGGTCATCTCCCCCACCCCCCCAGCATTACCGTGATCAAGCCCACTTTCCCTACACAAGCGCGACTGCGATCGCAGCCATAGACAGGCGTGGGCGCGCTCATGCAGGGAAGACGGGCGTGATCGTCATCCGATGCAGAGTTCACGACCTGAGGCAAAATGTTTCTGAAATGTCTGTTCACGACTCCATTTGGTTGTGAACCGAGGCATTAGTAAGCTGAGGTACCACTGTATTTAATCTACCTACCATCCAATTCTTCCTCCCAAAAGTTACACAGTGCACATTGATGAAATTGTTTTTCTTGTGAATAAATAGGTGGGATTTAAGAAGCAGCCCTTAGCAACAGCTGTCTCTAGGAAATGGACACTATCATAAAAACTAAGGGTATTATTTAAGAGGCTTCCAAGGCATGGTCTGAAGGCACATGAGCCAGCTCTGTTGCTGAAGCTAAGCAGGGTTGGGTATTGGTGAGTGTTTGGAGGGGTGACCACCTGGGAATCACACATTGTCATCTTGACTTCCATGATGGAGAAAAGTGGGATACAATAATTATAGAAACAATCATAGTAACAAGGAATATTACTATTCCAAAGTAATATTGCAAAACAATAATGCCAATTCTGGGACAGAATTATTTAAAGCTGGCCAAAACTTCTGGTTTGATAATTGCACAACAGTGTCAAGAAACCTCCAGAATGGGGAGGATCGTTTCATCCAGATTCCCAGGAGACAGATCCCACTCCAAGAAGGCCATGCCTCTAGTTGTCCTGGCAGTGCCATCTAGCAGTAATAGATCTGACAGGGAGATGAAACAGGCAACAGGATGCAAAAGAAGCTCTCCTCTAAGAAAGACAGTTTAGGAGGGAGGCAAGTAGGTAAATGTGGGAAAGCTGATTGTGGAACTAAAGATACTAATGGCTATGCTCTGAGGCCATGCCTGCCTCCCTGTCAGCGTCTCTCTCTCTCTCTCTCTCTCTCTCTCAGGGAAATGAAAGAGACAGAAATACTGACTGTGAGGAAGAGCGGTGTGAACTGATGTGTGCAATGTGTATGCAATGCTCACTTTTGATTTTGATTCACTTTTGGTCCTGGTCACTGCTGGACTACAGACCGGAACAAATTCAGAGTGTAACACAGAAAAATGTTCCCCATCCCTGGTGGGACGAAAAGGGTAGATAAAATGAAATGCACTATTAAATCAATTTCTATTGATGAGCATATGCATGATTTTGAACAACTTCTCACAGGAGCCTAGAAACTATAGACTCCTGAGGAAGCTTACCAATGGACATTACCATAACAGCTAGGCACTACCTGTCTGTCCAAGGAACACGATCCCAAACAGAAAAGCACATTCATTGCGTCAGAAAAACAAAGCAATGGCTAAATGTGTGTCAGTGCAATTCTATTCAACAGATCCATGGAGTTCAACAGGCTTTACTTTGAAGTCAATATATTTAAGATTGCTACCTGAATTCTCTCAACATAATGAAAGGCAGGGAATCCAAAATGAGATGCTTATGGTGGTAAAGAGACCTGGGCTATGTACTCTACACTTTCACCAAACTACAGCTCCTAGTTCTCCAACCAAGGAAAAGATTTCATTTATAGCTTAAAAATCTTTCCATGGTCAGTGTTTTCTAATTCTGCTCAAAACAAACCAGCGACCCCTGTATTTCAAAGCGGTGTATGGTGGAATCCAAGTTTTAAAACAAAAACAAACTGAACAGCATGGCAAAATGGAGACAAGACAACGATTACAGAAGGCTACGGTCTACACTATGACAGGACACCAAGACACACAGTGCCAGCTCCTACCTGGAACATGGAAATGTTTAGGGGCCTGAGCGTAAGTTGGTGTTAGAGGGCGGCTGTCTGGCCGGTAAGGGGCAGGGGAGTTCCGACCGCTGGACGGCTCATTGCCTCCAATGAGGAGAATGAAAACAAACAAACAAACAAACAAAAAGAGCAGTAAAGAAGCAGGTATAATTCAAAACCCAACCAAAAGACGGTGGAAAAGGAATCAGGGAAGAAACAAACAAAAATATATAGTCAGTTGCCAAAAAATGTAGCTAGTACTGGAAAGCACTGCTAGTCCATATTGAGAGAATCATTCACCTTAGGCTGGAATCAGGCAGCTTGCATTCCCTCATTGGTCATTCCAACAACATGCATGAAGGAACAATGCATTTGAATTAAATGAACAAGCCACAAGGAGGAATGGGAGGTTACATGGGAATGGTATCAGCTGGGTTTAAAACTTTCAGTATAAGAGTAACAGCATCTGGCAAAGTCATTGCTAGGCAAACCCCAAAGCAAGCTGGCTTCCAAGTTAATTGAACACTTAGAAGAGGCTCCCAAAATTCAAACATGCAGGTAATAGGAGGAAAGAAGCGATGAGTTATTTGGGTTATTGTCAGGTACATTGTTCTTTCTTTATATATCCAAGACCTGAAATCCATTCCCCCGCAAAATCTGATTAGAGGCCAGCCAAATTATTTTGCTGCCTGAAGTGGAACAGCAAAGCTCCTTGCCCACAGCTAAGTCAAGTGCAGTGTCCAAATTTGACTGAGTTATTCTGGCTTTTATGACATCAGGAATGGTAGAAGTAAAATGCTGCATGGAAAGTAGTACTCATTCATTTAGTTTGTAGGCTACCTATCCCAAATGGCTTCGAGTCAGTGATAATGTGATTTGTTTTCACCCTCATATACATGGCCTTCCCAAAGAAACAAGTGATTGCCTATGCTAGTATTAATACAACACATCAGCAAAAGATGTATTTGAAATATGAGGAGCTGTATCTTTTCTTTATCAAAAATACACACATTAAGTCATTTGACAGTATGTATACAACATGTCATACAGTGGTACCTTGGTTCACAAACTTAATGCGTTCCACGACTTTGGTTGTAACCCAAATCAAATTTCCCCATAAGATTCAATGTAAATAAGTTTAATCCATTCTAGCCCCTCTGAATGTGTTTGTGAGCCAATTTTTTGTCATGGGCCAAGTCAAATTTCCCCATAAGGTTCAATGTAAATAAGGTTAATTCATTCTTTAACTATTTTTTTAATCAGAAAAATGTGAAACAAAGTGACAAAGAACAACAAAGTAACAAAGTACTGTACAGTACAGTGGAGAACACTAACCTGGGGGGGGGTTATTGTTTTGAGGGAGAGTCCCCCTCCATAAGGACATTGGAGAGATCTCTTTTAGGGGTTTACTCTCTTCCTTGTCTCTTAGCTGCAGGGTCAATTTTGGTGAAAAATTTGTCTATAGTCACTTGTTTTTTCTTGCGCTGCATAACCCTCTGGAAATGAGAGACCATGTTATCGTTCATCAGATTCAACACTCTGTTCGTTACAGTTATGTTGGGGTGGTGCTTCTCAAAGAAATTCTGGCACGGGTGCGCTCCTGCAGGAAAGATGGGTGCAATCTCAGCCATCTCCCCCTCCCCCTGCAACCAGCATGATCATGGCCATCTCCCCCCCGCCCCACCAGTTGCATTCGTGCAGAGAAGACATGCGTGATCACAGGCATGCTCCTGCAGGAAAGATGGGTGCAGCACAACACAGCCGTGATCACGCATGTCTTCCTGCATGGATGCAACTGTGATCATGGCCATCTCCCCACTTGGGGGTAGGGTGGGGAGATGGCTGCGATCTTGGTCGCCACCCAATGCAGAGTTTGCGACCCAAGTCAAAATTTTCATGAAATTTTTGTTCACGACCCAATTTGGTCATGAACTAAGGCATTCGTGAGCCAAGGTACCACTGTATTTGTCTCTCTCTGTTGTCACCTTGTGGAGGAAAACATATTTATTATATTTTATATATTTAGAAGAAAAATATTAGTTAACTTCAAAATATTAGTTAACTTCAGATATAAATATCAGTTAACTTCAAAACACCTGCACACTGCAGTTCATCTACTCAATAAGATCTGGCATGTTTGGTTTTGCTGTGGAGAGATGCATAGTGGAGACTAAGCCTCTAGAACAGCTGCAGTGTGGAAGCTACGTCAAACGGCCTCCACATGGCAGCCATGTTCCCTGTGGTGTGATTGAACCCCAGAGCTTTTCTATTACCAGGGAAGCTGACACCATCTGCCACCTTCCTTTGGAATTCCCTGCTCCTCCTGCACTTAGCAGCACTTCTCACAGCTCCAGGTGGTTCAGGAGGCAGTGAGAAATTAATTTTCTGTGCAACAATATATCACTTGCTGTTGTAAAGCAAAGTATTGTGGAATGGCTTGGTCCTGAATGCCCATTAAGACCCATTAGCTTTACCAAAAACTTGCTCCTGTTAGAGAAGCAAACAGCTAGAAATGGTTTGTTGATATGGACACAGTTGCCATGATGAGTCATGGTGAGTGTGTGCACTTCAAAATTTACCACTGTAGTACTTCACATTGTGGGATGTGACATTAATGCTAGACGGTCTTACAGTACAGAAATAGGGAAATAGTCAGGAAATGTTTGCCAATAGACTGGATTCAGATTGATGGTGGATCAATTGTGCTGATGGAAGTAGAAGTCGCCACCTCATCCTAGCCTTGGTAGCCCTCTGGCCCTTGGAAAATGTTGCACGGGAAGTTAGGAGACAGCACTGGTCTGGAGGAGCTCTGGTCTAGATGACAAGCAGAATCCCCCAACTTAGGTTGAAAGAGTTTCTACTTTTTTGTGGAAAGCAATCTCACCTTCAAGAAAGAATTGTCAGGGTCTGGGCTGCTCCAGGGCCCCATCTGGTGGCTAGATCCAGAAGAGACACTATAGTGCTTGCATGATCAGTCCCAGACCCTGCTGGAGCCCTCAGTCTTCTGAGGAGCACCAGCTGGGAGACCTGGAGAAAGAGCTATATAAAAGAGAACTCTTCCCTCCAAACTGACCTCAGCAATGTAGGCCTTCCTATTTGTGCTGTGGTCCAGCTCTTGTGCATCCTGTCATCTGGTTCCTATTGCACCTTGCCTTGCCTAAGCAGCACAGATCTTCCTGCTACCTGTTGTTCAGTTCATGCACCTTGCCCGAGCCTTGCTGCATCTGGGTCCTGCCTTGCTTTATCATGTGTTGCTGCCTTGGCTCAGTAATGTAGGTCTTCTTGATAACTGCAGTTCAGTTCCTGCATCTTACCTGACCCTTACATACACCTGGTTCCTGCCTTGCTATGTCCTGTCCTGCCCTGTGTTGCTGCATTGTGGTGCCTTGTCTTGCCATATCCTGCCATGCCTTGTTGTCTTGCCTGGCACTTGCCTCACCCTGCTATGCTACTTGTCACACCTTTGCTGCTCTTGAATCTTGCCTGGTTATCATGCCTCAGGTACCTGCAGCCAGCGCTGTTTTCCTTCCTGGTTTGTTCATGACTTCTCCTGATATGTACTCCTGGTTCCTGATGCCAGCCTCTTTCTTCACTCCACAGATTTAGACTGTGCCTTATAAACTGCAAGTTTAGACTCTTCCCTGCCTTGAGTTCTATTGTCCTCATCCCAGTACCTCTGTTTTGACTCCTGCTGCCCAAGTCCCAGATGCTGACAACAAATATAGCACCAGTTATGGATTTGAAGTACCTTTTAGATGTTGGAAGAAACTTTTAAGTACATAATGGAATGAAACTATTATCCAGCTCTCATATTGCTACAAATCTACAGCTACAAAAGCTTTGGGAAAAAATGAGAAATTAGTTAGCACTTGACCATACAATGGTGATTCACCAAGTGGGGATTGCATGATGATGAAGTGTGACTGACATGTTCAATTACCTCTCTCATATTGTGATTTCTTCTCCAGTCAATTGGTACTTACACATTCTTTACACAAAGCTGAGGCTTGACAGTAATCTTTGTGCCAAACAATGTCAAAAGTAAACTGACAAAAGGTTAAATGAAACGAATACAGGAGTCTTGACTTTTTGGTCCAATGTAATGATATTTGGATCTAGACCTAGCCACAAATTTTGCACAAATCTGAACAGTGTTCAAAATGAGAGGCTGAACTACGTATAGCATGCTGTTAGACAAAGCAATGAAAAACAACCTGTTAAGAGTGACATTTCCAAGCATGTATCAAAGGAGGAATGAACACTGGTTAAAAACACGCAAGAGCAGAAAGATCCCCCAGGGATGGGGGTCATGAGAGAGCAGAGGAATGGCATACCTATGTAGAATGAAGCTGCATCTGAGAAAAGAAAATGAGAAAAATCATGTAGGCAAAAGAATATTGGAAAACAGGGCCAAATGCAGTTATGGGAGCAAATGTGGTACCTTTCAGATGAAGTAAAAGAAAAAATTGAAAAAAAAACACATATAGGCAGAACATGAGAACATGTAAATCCATGGGGGAAAAGCAGCATACAGTCATGCAAAGCATGGTGCTACTTTGTGGTTCAGGACTGCAGATAAGTTTGGAAATGGATTCACAGGAGAGGCATGGAAAAGGTTTTCCATAAAATGGAATCTGTGACATCACTGGTCTTTTTGTGCTAATTAAGTTTATTTGCTGGCTGATAGTTCCATGTCCTTTTTCTTTTGATCTCTTCCTATCTAAACACAAAAAATATTTGTACTTAAGATAGATTTGTAACAATATGCATATGCATACATGTATATAATTGCTTTGGATTTCACCCCACCACCCCAGTTTAGGAAATAAAAGTCCTTTATGGATGAATACTTCAGCAGAAAACATTTTAAAATGTTGTTGGAAAAGTAATTAGAAGATTCATCTAGGCCTACTTTGTCCTGTTCATCTATGCCCCAGCTTTGCCTTGGCTGGGGCATAGATCAAATGGGTGGAAGACAGAGAGATTAAAAGGCTGATTTTTGTGACAAAAACAATTCCATGGCCCGCTGACATTATCTGAGAGACATAAAAGAGTTCAGATTTCCAGCTCTAAGGTCAATGACAGTGCTCCAACTTCAGAGCTGAGAACTGGAGCTTCCACTCACCACCTCACTGCCAGCACAGAAAGAACCATGCTGGCTGCTTTCCAAGGTGAGAAACCTGACCTTGGAGGGTGGGAGAAGGAAATTTGGGGGATACAAAGGGGAGGAGACTGGATAGCAAGGATATCAGGCATCCTGAGGTTGCTCCAGCCTCCTTTCCTCCCTCCAAAGCATGCAGACTGCCTCTGCCAGTCTTTCAACTCTGCAATGGATGAGCAGGAGTTCCTGAATTGAACGGTTATGCTGCTCTCCACAAGACTGCACTCTACATTTGTATTAATGAGTTCATGCCCTGCGATATTAAATCACTATTTTCTGTATCTGACAAACTGAAAATATACTTCTTCTATGTTACATTTTGCTTACTGGAAGCCACTTTGAAGGCGTGTTGTTAGGCATAAAGGTAGCAGATTAATAATACAGAGTAAGATCAACCTCATTCTGTTTTTCTGGGCATCAAGTTTGTGTTGGCACCGAGGTTGTGTTGCTGTGTTGCAGGCATGCGCCTACATGAGCATGTAGCAGTGGCAAATTAACCAATGTTTTGCCTGCTTGTGTGTTTCATGCATGGCAATGTCCCTTTAAATAGGCAGTCTTCAATTTGCCCAGTTGTGCACACCCACTTTGAGTTCTTCAAGGGGAAACAACCAAAAGTTAACCCATAATTGATTGTTAGGGATGATCAGAAGTTACATACCTAGAGAGAGTGAAAGAGAGAGGCATATACAAGGTATGTGCCCCAGCAAATAATGGTTTAATTAATTAAGCCATGATTTGTTACTGTCAATAGAATCACATCACAAGCTGTTTCAGTTCCACAGTATGTTCCCTCTATGAAAAATGCTATAAATACTACAATGTCATCTTCTTTTGCCCACTGTTCCTAAACTTACTGGGGAAATATTTCTATAACAAATCTGGCACTCTTTCCAACAGTTGGTTGCACATATAGTAGGAGTTAACACTAGAAGAATGAGAGAAAGATTTCCCTTTATTCTCTTCCTTCAAATCATATTGCATAAAATTATTTTAACTGATTTTACTACCCAAAGGAAAAACTAAGTTAATCTTCAAGTCATCTTCTTCCCCCGCACCTGAAAAGCTCTGGTCATTGTCTCCTTTGCCAGTTTTCACCACCCAGTCAGCTGCCCTTTCCCACATGCATGTTTTTTCCAGCAACGGTGGCAGCAGAATCCTTCCTAGAGGGTGTCTGGCATCACAAATTTAACAGAGAATTCCAAAAAAAGAGGAATAAGCCGGCCAAATTTGTGTTGGACCCACTAGCCTGTTTCAAGATTGGGCCAGGCTTGGTTTCAGGTTAACAATTCATATGCCTGGATGAATCCACTTCAGTTTGATTGCCACAAAAACCTTCTCTCAGTGTAGAGAAGTCCAAAAAATGTAGCAGCACACAATGTTAGGGCATATTGTAACAGAGGTTCAAAACATATCTAGAAAGATGCAAGTATGGGAAGGGCACAATCCTATGCATGTTTAGACCTAGAAAAGGCTTAGAACACCCAGAATTTCCCAGCCAGTACTGAGTGACACCCTAAATTGTGTTTAAAAGATGAAAAGCAGATGGTGAAGGACAGAAGTTCTTAACAGGGTGAATGAAACATCATTAAGTACCTGGGCAATTGAGGAAATGGCCTATTTAATGTTTTAATGTTAGGATTCCATATGTGTTGCTATGGAAGTCTACCTGCAGTAAAGCCATCAGTGCGGTAGCTCCCTGCCTTTGTTGATCTGACACATGCCATCACTGTGAGTGGATTTGCACAGCATGATAGCCAGTAATAAGAGTCAGCAGTTGCCAGTGTAGATTCCTCACTATGGATAGCTGTTTTCAGACTCCCCCAGTAAGAATCTATGGGCTGTTCCAGGGGTTGTTTCTGCAGATGACCAATCCCCCTTTGGGTAAAGACCCACGAGAAATGACTTGCTCAGCAAGAGAGGCAAATGTCTTTGCTTCTTTTCTAGAGCTAGTCCTGGCCTTGCCAGGGCCAGCCACTCTCCAGGTGCACAAGTAGCCCCTGGGGGCAGCTGGCACTAGCTTCCCCCTTCCTGGCACAACAAAGAGGCACTTTCAGTCCCCGCAGCTGCACTGACAAGTCATGATTTGTTAACAACAAAAATCCATGGAGAAAGCCCATGGTTTGAAGCTGGGTTGTGAACTGTTGGTTGCTCACCATGGTTTGTTAGCTCAGCTGGGTTCACACAACACAATCACCCACACTGGGTGGTTGATTATATTTCTATAGCAATACATGAATTAACAAGCCATACTCAATCCTTAAACGTGGTTTACCGTGTTATCTATGCCAGTTTTCAACATTCTTGCACAGCATGTCTATGAAAGGGAGATTAGAAAGGGAGCCAGAGCCAATGGGAGGGGAAAGGGAGAAATGGAGTGGGAGGCATCCCTTCCCATTGTCTCTTCTCTTGCTCCTTTCCAAGGGTTGCATGGGCAGACACTAGTTTGCACACCCCCCCCCCCCGCCATAACTGCTTCAGGTGGTGTGTTACCCAAGGCGCCATGTCAACTGAGAGTGGAGAGAAAGGGGAATGGGCCCTGAAATGGGGCTTCTTCCTGTCTACTGCCACTGTTGTAGTGACAGTGGTGGAATTCAGATTTTTGGCTTCACTTCCTTGCAAATAAGCAAGCCCAAGCAGCTGATTTTCCCCCTGTGCCCACCTTTCCAGCTCTTGGAGAAACAGCATACTGTGGAGGTCAATGGCTTACCCTGGGCTCCTGCCAAGGCTGAAGTCTGGGGGATGCTGATGACAGTCATGCTTTGCTGGCTATCATCCATGCAAGCAAGGAGAAATGCATTTCTGAAGTTTCTTTCCTAGCTGGATTTAGCCTTGCGACATATGTGGCAGGAGGCAAGGTTGCAGCAATGCCATGTTGCCACAGAAGAAGCAAGGAGCAGGTCCAGTTGCTATGCTTGCTAGGAGGAGGAAATGTGGTCATGAGTTGGGTCGCAGCCAAGTGAATGAGGAGAAATGCCCCTGCCAGCTCGTGGAATTCTGCAAGTCTTTTACCTAGTAGCAGCTTCATTACTGATAAGGCTTTAAGGGTTACTGAGATGATATATGTGATTTGACTATAGTCACTACAGATACCTCTAATCAGAGGTATGCAGTTTGAGGCAATGGCCTCTGTAAGACATAAAAGATCACTGTGAAACTTTTAAACCAATGATTGTGAGCACAATATATCAGGAATGTGATAAGATTCAAACTCATCAGTCAATATAACCTGTTGGACAGTTCTCCCTGCTACCAAACACTGCAAATATCTAAGCCTGTCTCTCTACCCTACCAAGACAAAAACTTGTAGCTCATGTACATATTTTAACCAGTCTTCTCAACCTGATGAGAAGGTTACTTCTCATCAGTTGAGAAGTATGTCCCCCATCTTAGGGAAATAACTGCTGAATCCAGAAGATCACAATCTATGCATTAGATTAATCTAAACTGGTAACTTATAGGGCTATACATATTGAATTACTAGTTTCTTCATTAGCTTCAGTATCATCAAATACAATTTAAACTGGCTGAAAACCTAGCACAACCTCAGTATAATAAGGAAGATCCTTTTCTTTGATCGTCTTTCACAGATTCACATTATAACCACATGGGGACATTTCCTAGAAGAAGGAGCACAGTTTTTCTTGGTATGAACTTTATGAAGGCAGCCTGCAGAGTCTGTGCTGATTCCAAAACTGCCTGAAGTAGTCATGTGCAAAGGTGGAGAAGACCAGCATGGACTGAGATTGCCAGTGAGTGTGAACTGCAGACATCAAAATGACATGTTCCAATATATATTCATGCCCACAGTTCTTTGAATGATCTTTCATGGCCTTAATCCAACCAGTGTCCTCCCACTAATGGAAGAATACCATCAGCAAAATGGAGATGTAGTAATTTTTCCTAAAGTATCCTACATCTCCCAAGTCTGCTTACTCCCCACTCCACTGAGAGAGATTTGGGTCAGGGCAGGAGTATATGGAATCATTCCCTATACCACTGAAAAGAGTTTTCCATCAGTGGAAGAACTCCAGTTGGATTTCCACTTCACACACATTTAAACCTGCTCTGATTTCCTAAATTATGTAATTCAAAATGACAAACCAAAGCATAAACACAACCTTCAAAATAGATGTATATTTCAGAAAGTTATTTCTATGACATAATCTGCAGTGACATTTTGTCACAAGAAACCTAAAAGTACCAGAAATGAATGGTTGTACTGAAAAAGATATTGAGATTACCTTTGGATGTATGGGATAAGCATGAACATGTGGAACTAGAGTTTATAGATCAGGTACATGCAAACATGAACTGTGCCTCTGTTTTTAAGGGACCCCATATGTAAGGTACGAAGTGAACTTGATTATGGAGCTTGGATTTATAAACATTCCACAAAGTTCTCAGCAACTATGTATTGTTATTCATTTAATGCCAATATTATTTGCTTTAGTTCAGGATATTGGGAAGTGTAATAGAATCTTAGGCATATAAACTTTGCTGGCCTTTTATTAAGCAAAGCAATTCATATCAACTCCTGATGCTGTATGCATTAAGGGGTTGGATAGGCCATTTGGAAAAAAAAGAGCGGGGGGGGGGGAGCACTGAGAAGAAGAAAAGGAAAGAAGGTGGCAGGATAGTTTTTGAGGTGGATCTGAGTTCTGGCAGGAAGACCAAGATGGTAGGTGGGGCAAGATCTCTGGAAAAAGTCAGGGGAATTTTCAGAATGGCACACTGCACTGGAATTAAAAACAAGCAAGGCTAAAATGAGACCTTTGTGCAGGGATCAATCTTAGCTTTTGGATGTGGTGGGCACTGTCGCCCCAAGGCATTTTTATCATGTCAGAGAAAATGAGTGCACCATCATGTGATGCAGTAAAGGACTGCAGCTCTGAGCATTTGCTTAGCGTGCAAAGGTCTCTTGGTTAATTCCCAGTGTTTTCAGTCAGGGCTGCGAAAGACTCCTGTCTAAAAGCCTGGAGAGCTACTGCTAGTCACTGTAAAGAAGGCATAGTTTCTATGTCAGCAAGTTGAGTTTACCATACATGCATATGTCAAGACTGGGGTGTGCTTTGAACTGCTGAGTATCAGTTCATACTACCACTATATACTACACAAATAGAACTTGGTAAAATTATCCCATTACTAAATGATTCTGCACTTAGGTTTGAAGGAATGGGACTACAGAAACATACATACAAGAGATGCAAAGCTGGCTGATTAGCACAGGAGTCCGAGGCATTGGGAGAGGAGTTATTAGTCACCTTATAGAATCTATGGGCCACGTTTATGTGTTTGAATAGAGGCCAAATTTCAGTGAATTTTGAAGTTAAATTCCCAAGATGACAAAAACCAATTTTCAATGAGCAACATAAAGAATTGTTTACTCCCAGACACTTCACCTAGGGAGGACCCTTAGAAAGGACATACTTCCTCAGAGAGAAGAAGGTATGTCAGGTCTAACATAGTAATTATGGTACAATCTGAGGCATGCTGGGAGCTGCACATTTAATAGCCACCTGATGGAGATGTACCTTATTAGCCTTCCAGGAATGCTAATAAATCTCCACTCTGTTGGATTCTCACTTGAATGGCCTGTCTCCTTACCTTTGACATAGGGAATGAAGTGGTGTCGGAAAGGGGAGTAGGGGCAGGAGTCATTGTGGGTGGAGATGGGGCTGCTAGTGCGAAGGTGGGCTAACCGCTGCACACCATTAGACAGCAGCTCTGCAGCAGCAGGGAAGTGTAAGGCAGAACAAAATGGAAACAAAGAAAAGAGAACACAAAATAAGACAGAAGCAAGGAAAGTGACCGAAGACTGGGAGAGAACAGAGGGAGAAAAGCACTTAACAGCTACAACAATGATAACGGGGAAGAAATGAAATTAAAGAAGTTGCAGGCTACAGAACTGTTCAGAAAATTCATTAGAAGAACATGAAGACTTAGTTTTACACTAGATATTTCTTTGCTCAAGCTTAAATTAGTATCCATGTTATCTTTACACACAGTACAGAGCTTGCAATTGTCATTCATTCATCTTAACACTTTGAACCCGAAGCTGTTTGGATAAGAATCTGGCCAACCAGGATCAACTGAGAACTACAAGGTTGAGATCCCACAAAAAGTGCATATGAAGCATGAGATCCAATTTTAAAATTTAAAATGTTAAAAAATGAAGCAAGAGATCCAATTTTAAGAAAAACTTTTCTCAGTAATTTCCCAATATTGTTTTATTTTCCCAGTGTTTTGAACTGCTTTCTGAAACCATGGCTTTCATTTATTTAGGTTAGTATGCCATCAAGCAGACTGGCAAAACAAGCTGAATCACCTTCTAAATCTTAAGAAATGCCACAAGAAATCTCAACAAATCTGATTTGGAGAAAATGTACTTGTTACATTTACAACTCTTTAAATTCATGGTTTAAAAATAGGGTATATAGTTCTATTGGAAATTATAGGATTAAAAATGTAGGAAAAGCTATTCTGTATTCTGATCACAGAGTCATATTTTAGGATTGTCATATAAATTTTCTTGAAATGGAATTAGTTATGGCATGTTTAATAGTAGTGACTATATGATATTGACAAATATGTCCATATATTCATTTTCATTTGAACACTGGCTTAATTCATACATGAAGCTATGATGAAACTAGCATTACATGGCCAAACCTTGGACTTGTGCACTTCCCCATCCCCTGAACTTCACAACAATTGTGTGGAAGAGACTGGAAGATTTCACTTCCTTTTTCAATTAACCTCACTTTGGCATTATGTTTGAATCTTACCTATGGTTCATTGAAACCAGCTTTAATCTTACCTATGATTCGTTGAAACCAGCTTTATGAACTGTGGCCTAACATTGGCATTCAAATAGTAACCCAAAGTTACTAACAGAAGCTTTCTCAGGCTTGGATATAGTGCTAGGCTGTGGTTAGTGAAAAACTGGTGGATTTGACTGAATCCTGAACAGAATTAGATGAATTTGGAAAGATCTGTGAGATGTCCAAATTGAAGCAGTATTCCACTGTAGTGGAACTCTTTTTGTAGGAAAGTCTCCCACAAAAACTACTGCTCCTAGTCTTCCAAAATTTTGCACATTGCTAAGCTAGGCCAGCCCCTATGATATATTTCATTTTTACATCAACTGCAACAAAGCATTTAGGAGATAAGCACATCCTTTTTGTGAAAATTATAAAGCTGTTTCTGCAGAGTCCTTACCCCTGCACCTATTTATCTGAACCTTGGCAGATGTGGTCTTTTCACAGAAGGGCTATTATGCTTGGAAATTTTATCCCATTCTGCCAAGAAATATATTAAAAAATTAAAAAAATATATACTTAACACAAGAGGCCATTTTTTCTTCAGATTTCATTCAGTTCTGTCAAATGCCATCAAAGTTATAGCCAACTGCTAATTTCCTGTGCTAGTTAATGGGAAGCAGATTTTCAAAATCAAGATTCAAATTTGGCATTTGGGTTGCTCTCTGAGTTGGTTCAAGTTGGTCTCAGGTGGCCCTGAGTTGATCTGGGATGAATCAGGCTGATTTCTGAATCTCTGATAGGGGTTTGAACTGAATGATGTGATTAGTACACTTCCTTAATAGAAACAGAAGTGAAAGCTTCCGGTCATTTACTTGCACCTGCACCAGAGAAGGCAATGGAAGGGGTTGCACATAAGCCAGAGACTGTTCATGTAAGCCCATATTTAGTGTTATAGCTCAGTGAAGCCATGATCATCTTGGTCCATGTGAATGACAAAAGAAAGTGGAGGGAATGTATTTTTTCAATGGTTATAAAAGGAAATAGCTATTGTCAAGTGCTGACAAAGCTCATAATCAAGGTGAAGTGTAGTCAAAAATGTTTATAACCCAGCACTTATAACAATAAGCAGAAATGTGCAGCTTCTTCACTGTTTCTAATAGATTCAGTAGGGTCAATCAACATACTTGAAAAACACAACACCTGCATTTCCTTCTGCTTTTGGATAGGAACAGTTACAAATTTTTTCTAGCTGATTCCTCCTGCTCCCCATTTTCAGGGTTCTGAATTATGGGGTCTTGTTTCCAGAACAGAGCTAATTCATATTTTTAATATCCAAATATTAAGAGCACTCCCCTTCTGCAGTTTCCTGTACCTGGCGTCTTCATTTTTCCTTATGTTACCAATGCTCAGCAACCTGAATATGTGTTGCACAAATCATACGAAGGAATCTTAATGCAATTCTGAAATTCAATCAACGTACATATACTGTAGTGTAAAAGAGCAAGTTGCAAACTGTAAATTGCTGCAAATTGTATATGAGAGAACTCCAAAATCAATTCTAGAAATTCTCTTAAGCTGGACTAGAAGTCGGATGGAATGAATCCCTGAATGACAGAATGAAATGAAAGATCTTTGTGAAACTCATCTCTACATTTGGAGATCCACAGGCCAAAGATCCTGTTAATCTGATGTGTCTTAAGTAGTCAGAGAATGAACTGAATTTTACAATACTGGAAAATTTCAATGACATAAAAAGATATAATTCATGGACGAAAAATTTAAAGGTAAATATCAAAAGAAAATACAATATACATTTCCTACTTTGCTATTGTGTGACCCCTCAGATGTGCTATATACATCTGAATATAAGGAAATGAGGAATTGGCTTTTTTACAATATTACTTCTGTCTTCATATTAGGACTTTAAACATATTCAAAAGGTGGCTTTAGATTTTCAACATCAAAGAAGAGAGGTTATATGGCCTCTTACAAGTACTGACAAGCTGTGAAACTATGCCTATGGCCTGACGGTGATATTGAATCCACACTCATGGAAGTATTATTATTATTATTATTATTATTATTATTATTATTATTATTATTATTATTATATTTCTATTAGAATATTTTCTAAGTACAGGCAACAACATAAATTTTCTTCTTGTGCTATTTCTTCTTGTGATTCAACACCCTCCTAAGAAACAGGAACCATTGTAGAAAATTATGAGTTATTTTCCCATTAGCCCAGATTCAAATCTTTCCTAGTTAAAAAGAGATCATTAAAATGGGAGAAGGGAGGAGATAACAGAACAGTTTTGTAAGGGGTAGAATGTCTCCTATCTCCAAAGAGATAGATTCCTTACTGCATGATTCCATGCCATAAAGGCAGATTCATTCAGGATCTGGTCCCGTAAATTTATGACAACTTACCAGGTCTGTGAAAATGCTGTGGTGAACGTGACATGGTGGGTGTGTAGCTGTGACGACTGTACACAGGAGAACCAATGGAGCCCTGGCTGGTAGACCGGTGTATCATCCGATCCCGAATATCTTGATAACCCTGGAGAAGGAATATATTTTGCATAAGTATTTTATTATTGAATATTATAATGATCCCATTTATACAATCCCATATTTCTCAGATATAATGAGTTGCTAAAATGTATGCATTTTCACAGGATAATCACATTCAGTGAAAGCATAATCACAATAATTGTTGCTTGTCATATGACCAGTTCAGGGCTGGAAGCACAGAACCGGGAATAACAAAAAAAAAAAAATAATTATTTCGAAGTTCCACTAAGAATAGCAAACGAAATACCGAAGCATAGCAAACTTATAAATGAAATATTGAAGCTCATCAGTTAAAAACACATTTAATAGAAAGATATCCAGTTAAAACAAATAAAATAACACACAATTATTATTGCTTGCTAAAATTAATATAGAAAGAGTAAAACAGAGGGAAAATGTTTCATCAAACTTACTTCTGCTGAAGGAGTTGGAGAGAGTGTCCTTGGAGACTGCAAGACATGGGAAAAGGAAGGTTACAGAGAAACTTTGCTCCTTCTGTGCCAGAAGTGGTAACATTTTCAGAGCTACTGAAAACATGAAAAGGTTATTAGAGCCACTTAAATCCAGAGACCTCTACCAAACTGCCCATGGTCTGCTCAGATCTAGGAAACTGCTTAACAGGCCAAAAATCCCATATGTGCTTAATTCAATTAAATAGTCTGGCAATAGTTTATTTATTTAAAATACTCATATACCAACATTCGTTATTAGATTAACAGGATGATATACAAAATCTATTAAAATACACAGGTAAAAATGAACAAACAAAAATATACTCTGCTAAGCATTATTATCAGCAAATTCCTGGGTAAACAGATCCCTTTTCAACAGTTGTAGCACTAGCTGCAAAGATGACAACCAGAAGCTTGTATTTTTTGATAATTACTGCAGTTCTATGGAAAGCTTCCAAACTTAGCATTAGCATGCCAATATCTTGCTGGGTCATGACTTTTGAGTGACATCAGAAATTCTAGGTTTTTTTACTGCTTCCATTGGGAGGAGGGAGGGTTTACTGAACATTTAACGAGTCTTGGCACTGAATACAGGTTTGATAGCTCTCTCTGGACATTTATACAGGAAATGTAAAAAAAAAGCAGAAAAATTAGATATCCTTTTCATAGCTGTTATGTGAAAATCTCTTCACAACATGTTATCTCAAATGTCCATCTCCATCTGCTGATTATATATTGCCAGTTCAGGCTGTGGATGTGGGAATAGTATGTTTACTGTATTTGTATCTCACCCTTTATTCAAAAGCTAAGCCTCTCATTCAGCATCTTCTGATGTCTATTTGGCAAAGAGCTAATGATCAACACCACTCTGTGACTGTCACAATTGAACAGGGATTTGAAATCACATCTAAATCCCACACAGAAGCCACTGCATCATATGGGTTCTTAGTTTGTTCTTAGATGGCCTGGATTTGTTGGGAAGTTTTGGTGAATTTACTTCAATACACCATCAAACTGAAGCTCAATTCAATGAATTGTTCCAACAGAGGGATGAGTAGGAGGAAAACAGCAACTATTTCAAGAAAATTCTACTGCAACTTGCAAAACTATCACAAGAAAACAGCTACTAAAACAGCTACAAGGAGGAGGTTCTGCAGCAGTTCTCCATTTTCTGTTTAAGAGCTTGCACAAATGCATTCACAAGTGGGAGAACATCTGTGGATTCAAGTTCACTCTTCTGCAGTACTGTAGTGCAGCCCTGCGCAATTCATGGGCTATCCCCCCCCCCCCCCGCCCCAATTCTCATATGAAGAGTCAGTGCCATGCTAGCCCTAGAAAGTGCAACAAGAATATCTGTCTTTCATTCCCAATATCTCGAGATTTTGCACTGTCTTTCTCAACTTACACTTTCAATGTGCAAAGGAGAACTGTTGTATCTCAGACTGAGTCTGTAAAAGAAGGCTTGGGATCATCACTCTTTTCATAAATTCTGAAAAGGCTTTAAAAGACGAAATTGAAAAGCAAAGCCTCAGATCTTGGACAGTAGGACAGTCAAACAGAAAACTCAGGAGCAATCTAAACAAAGCAGAATACCCTGGGTCTTGATGTTTGTGGTCTATGTTGGTCCACATTTTTGGTGTTGAAATGCTACGGAACAAAACTTTCAGAGACAAAACTGCCAGAGTTCCTATGACTGTCACTACTGTTACATGACAGAAACCTAGTCCTTCAACTTTTATAGAGGAGAAAACTTTAAATCAAATTCAGTGGGAGAGCTCTTAGTCGGCTTATAGTTACAGTTCTGGAAATGCAGGAACAGAGAGTATTCCTAGACTTCACATTTGAAGATGTAGGTTATTTTCCCTGAGAAGAATTGATAAATACTGTTGCACTAAGAAAATAAGAGAACATCTGGGTCAAGACCTATCTATCTATTGTAGCATTCTGTTCCCACAGTGGCCAACTAGATACTTCTCAGAGGCTGCAAATGGAATATGAAAACCGTATCACCCACCTGTTCATTTTCCCCTCGAATATATAGCCTTCCTGACTAGTATCCCTTGATATCCTCATCTTCTATGAATTTGACTAAGAAATCCAGGTAGGTGGTCATCACTTGCATGTAACTACAGTGGTTCTTCCATTGTTAACAATGACTGAGGACAGGGCAAAGGAATGGAGGAGTATATATGGCTTGTACTCCATAGTGAGGCCTATTTCACTCAATGGTCTGTCTGACAGGTATGTGTCTGACAGGTATGTGTCTAAATTGGGGTACAGGCCCAAATGTGTGAATACTTCTACACTTTCAGTGTCTGTTACTACAAACAATGGAAGCAAGACAGGAGAGAACTGATCAGGCCCAATGAAACTTTAGTTCACTGAGGATATAAAGACCCAGAAAGTAAAGTTCAATGGCACTGCAGGAGTAAACGTCTAGAAAAGCATCCATAGCACATCATGGCAGTGATACTGTGAGTCATGTTCAGCTGAGGGTCAGATAACCAGTTCCATGGTTAACATCACTTGCTGTATCATGAAATGCAGACATAAAATCAAAGGAAGAAAGGGAGTGAAGAATTTGCCCATTCCTGCATTGTATCAAGGAATGCATGGGGAAAACTTAAGTTATACATGAGGCAAAATATGTTCTAATCCAAGACTACTACCATGTTACCATCTGGGTACCATAACAGGACTGTACCACAGCATCAAAAGGCAGCATAATTAGATTTACACTGGTTCAACGGTTTCTTTTTCTAGCATTCTAGTTGGGAATACATTGGCCTGATGCAAATGAAACTCTCATCTGTCCCACTATGAAACTTCCCTGTGCTTCACTGCTGGTTCTTCTATCAATCACATACTAGCAGTCAGCTCATACAAAAGGCATCACCCTATACAAAGCCAAGGGTAAGGAGGAGCAGTTAAAGGCCCTTAAAAAGAAGTGCACTTGGGAAAAATGTGAACAATGATGGAAGCCATTACAACCATAAACCAAAAGCAGTACGCAGCCAAGAGATCTGTCTTTTATCAGTCCTTTGACACTATGGTGGAAGAGAAACTGTGGACAGTTGGCAAAGAATTGCCCATTAAAATGTGCTGCATTCAAACACCAAATATTTCCTACCAGAATTATTGATCCCTACACGTCTGGCAAATTAGACCCACTACATTTATTCCCTTTCAGAACACATTATTGCAACTAGAATGTTAACTGGTTGGCTTCCTCTAGATGGTGCTATATGGAAATATTTTCCATAGAAAGGACTGAAACTAAGTAGCAATTCAGAAATGGTGGGTGCAATATTCATGTTCAGAAGAAATGTCTTACAACTCCCAGCATCCCTGCAGTCAGCCATGCTGGAATTTGTAAGGGTTTTTTTCCTGTATAAACAATGCTTAGGAGAATGCCCTAAATTATAAAGCAAAGCTGGTGGGGACAATATGTTCTACTGACAGCCCAGAAAAAGGCACAAAGCTCAGGTAAACAAGTGACCACATATGGGAAGCAGGGAATAAGATTCAAAGAAAAGGTCCAGACATGTGAAGAAAAGGCTGCAGGTACTATGGTAGAAAGTGATTTACAGGTCATTGCTTTTCTTATACTGACCTACACAATAGACAGAAAGAGAATACTGGGCATGGAGGAACAAGATCCAGCTATTCAAGAGCATGATGGTAAATACTCCGACCAAACTGCTAAATGACTTAAATTCAAATAAAATTAAATAATCTTGTAAAACAGTTGCCCAAAGAGATAAAAACACATCTCAGAGAACCAAATGGGCTTTTTTCAACTGCATTTTTTCAACATTCTGAGATTTTATCTGTTTATTCAGTTGGATATTTATATACTTACTCCATCACTAATACTTATACAGTGCATACAACATAAGGAAATATCTTGAAATTCAACTGAAATCTCCATATGAAAAACCACTTTAAGTATCTGTTATTCATTCTAGTACAGGTCAGTTCCCCAGGTGGAAACTTTTTGAAAGAATGTGATCCAGCAGGAAAATACGGATTGCTTACAGGGCTGTGATGGATTATCATTACGCCCCCGCAAACCCCCACTTAAATAAAAAGAGCTTTTGTTGTGTACATTTTCATTTATTTCCATTTTGTTTTGAATCCTACACATTTTTATAAATCTGCCAAGCCACTTAATCTTGCTTCACTGATAACAAAGGGGAAGATGCATCTAATAATGAAAAATACATCCAAGTATATAGTAAATTCATGTGAACAGTCAATCACACACAGGTTTTCTACATTATCATTTTAAATTCATGCACACAAAAACTACCATCAACTTGACATTAATTTTTGATATTCCTCTGCAAATAGTCAACACGGTTCTTTTTAGTGAAATTCATAAAGGCAAACTCTGTCTCACAAGCTGTTTACATAAGCAATTATTTTTGCATTATGCAGAGGATGTTAAGGATAAAGTATGTTAAGATTGAGCCAAAAAGGTATTCTGCACAGTTTTGGAAATTTTAAACATCTTGAAACCTAGCTCTAGCATTCCTTTCATGAATATTGTCTGAACACTTCCCAAACTTTTCTGTGGTTTCCAGTCAGCCACTTATTTTTCCAGTGTCTAGCAAATCAGTGCTGATTTTGATCTTCCGCACTGAAGGAAGATTGTTTCATTCCAAAGAAATCACACATTTTTTCTACTAGATTAGAATTCAGAGCTCAGTAGGGTTCACCAGAGGCATTGGCCACATATAGACTTGGGAGTATAACATGGGTGCACAGAGGGTAGATTACCGATGTTTTATACTTGATATCTCAAAAGTCTCTGCCAGCATAGCAATAATCAGGAATGCTAGGAGTGGAAGTCAAAAACATCTGGTGATCTACTTTCTGCTATCCCTGAAAATCTTATCTGAAAAGATAAGTTCACAATATGATCATCTACCCTGGATTTGATTGCAAAAAAGAAACTGCAGACGCTCTCCCTCTGTGTATGTGTGTGTTTGTGAGACAGTGACAGACGACAGAAATCCTATTTGCCTCTTGTTGAGGTATGTGGAGAGACAAGTGTGATGCTTCTTGCAGTATTTTTCTGTAAAAATCCCCAAGATCACTTCTCCTGAAGCTCCTCATGAACCATGGTCTCAACCAAGACTGCCTCCCCAGAGCTGAACTTTATTAAGTTTCCTGTCTACCCATACATGTGGTAAATTATTTTCTATTCCAGATCCTACTGTTTTCCCATTTGGGATTATATACCTTACTAAGGTAGGCATATTTGGGCACCTGCTGAAGGCCTTCACCCCAACAAGAGGCCACTGACAAGAGTGCCCAGAGGTGCTGCTTGTCTTCACTATTTGGACCTGCTTTTCCCCCTGCCACTTGCACTGGCCCAGACAAGGATGGTGGTGAGGAGAAGATGCCACTGCCCACCTGCTTGCTGGCTCTTGACCAGTCAGGCAGGAAATGAAGGCAATAGTGAAAAAGAATAAAGGGAACAATCGACCCACTGACAATGTTTTGCTTAAAGGCACTCTAAAACCTGGAGCTGGCACTGGGTTGGCGAAGCACGATCTGGGATTTAACATAGCTACACTAAATGGTAATAACAGCAACAACACTACAGCTGCAGGAGGAGTTCTGATTTTCACTGGGACTGGAGCTCCAAAGGAGGGGACCCCGATGCCATATTGGCATCTGTCTACTTATTTCCTCCACACGAGAAGCTTATGCAGATGAAAGGTTAACCCACTCCTCTCAGTGCCATGGCCCCAGTCAGAATTAGCTGCTACTCCCACAGCTACTTTCTAGTTTTTAACAGTGCAGAAATCTCTAGCTGCAATATCTAGTTTGATCCTAATTTCTCCTAACTGTCTGATTCTAAATTAAACCAATTGAAGACAAGTGTGTCAGGCTGCCACTGTGGAAATACGGAAGCATCATACACAATTACACAGCCGTACTTTAAAGTGTTGAAAGTGCTTCATGCACATACATGTGACATGTAGCAAAATCGTATGCATGTTGATCCAGCTGGGGGTTCTGCTATGTTCACAGGATGTGAGCATGGGAAGGCAGCCCTAGTGGGCTTCCTGGAATGAGAAATTCTGCATCTGTAGCTGATTAAACAGGCAAGCATGCTGTGCTAAACAATCCAGGGATGTTTGGTTGCACTGTTTGGTTGATAGGATGTCAAGCCAGCTTGACTCTGCCTCCCCTATTTCCTTCATCTCTGGTGACAACTGACATCATACAGGCTAGGTTTGATTTGACTCTGTTTATGGACTGCTCTTTCTATTGATCCTACTTTTTAAAAAATAAACCTCAGAATTCCTGCATCCAATTTTCAACCCAACCCTTAGAGATCAACATGGATTCTTTTGCTATTTGCACCTTTACCTGTACCCTGACACATCCTCTTAAACTGTCCAATATACAAAGCAACATTTAGAGGCCATGTCCTGATCCACTGACAAAACATGATTACAGAAAAGGGTTTCCAGCTGTTTACAAAGCAAAACTGAGAAGAACACTCACATTTCTGAATACCAGGTAAGTCAAGTACCTGCTCCATTATATTTTGTTAAAATTGTGTTAAACAGAATATTTTTCCAACATGAGGATTAAGCAACCCTTCCACCCTTTGCTTCTCTCTAAATTCCCCCATTCCCAAAGCAACTTTGCTTAAAAGAAAAGGGAAAAAAACCCTGGAGGACCATTACATGCACTAGTGTGTACCTAATATAAAGTTATCTCCCAAGTGTGTCCTATCACTCAATGCTTGCATGTCTTTATAGGATGTATATAATCTGGGATAAATAAATCAATTCTGTTGAATATCGTCATACACATACAACAATGGTGCCACATTCCCACGTGAGCATCTGTGTTCACAATTGTTTGTTTCTTTATTTAAAGTTTTTATAGACTGTTCTATCAGCACACACTCTCAGAACGGTTTACAATTGTTGTGACAGTCTGTTTGAAACATGTGCATCAACAAACAAGACAGAAGCCAGAATCTACAGCTACAATGAGCAACAAATGGCCAAAATGTGCATCATGTTATCCTGTCTCCCAGCAGTTGGTTTATTTTGTAAAGCTCACTATTAATTTTTTGCCTTTCTCATTTTCACAGGCCCAGTGCACATTGTCCTTGCCTCAGCTGTACAAATACTGGAGCCAGCAAGGGCTCTGCAAGCAACTTCCAAGAAACAATAGATGCGTGCCAGGTGCTGGGAGTAAGCAGGATGGTTCCTTTGAGTTCCTGTTCTCAAGGACTACTGGCTGGGTTCAGAAGAACCGGAACCGGAACGTGAAGCAGATCAAAGGGGAGTTGGGAGGAAGGGCCATGCAGAGACATGAGATGAGGGAAGTGGACGCACTTATCTGAAGACCAAACTCCTAAGAGGTGGGCAGGCAGTTCCTGGGAATAATCGAGATACACAGCTTGCAGGAGGGGACTCTGAGAAGGAGTGTTTCTCAGACACAGGCCGGGCAGCCCTGGCTCTTGATCCCATGACATGGCATGTTCCTAAGGAGAGTTCCTGGGGGTGAATCTGGATTGGGTTCAACAAAATGCTCTGTGCATGCCCAGAAATTCATTCAGGGTGATTTATGCTTTTGGTGATTTTCCTTTGCAAGGAAAATGGCCTGTGGCTTTTGAATGCTCAAATGAGGAACCTCAGCTCACGACACTAGGGATGCAGATAATCTGCACGATCCATGGAGAAGCCAATCATTTAGGGAGTCCTTTGGAGAAGGCACACTCCTTTTAAGCCTCTGAGGATCAAGCATCTCTGCAGTTTACATGGGTGAATTATGCAGAGGCCTGCCTAGCATGTGTATATATTCTGAAATACGGTAGGCTACTTTAAAACAGATACAGGATTCCACTGTGAAAATGAAGCATTCCATGTACGGATGTACAGCCTACAAGCAAAAGATGTATGCCCTAATTTTCAGAATGTTTAACTGGTGGATTAACTTATTCACCATGTTGCTTAATTCAACTAGTACAGGCTAGGTTTGGCCTGACCTCTGGCCACCTTGTGCCTTCATCAAAGCAGCTAACTCTATTCACATGCACTGCCCTGGAAAAATGGGAAAGTGTGCTATATTTATGGCATCTCAAATGTGTTCTGCATTTTTACAATGGTTACAGATTTATGGCGGCCATAAATAAATGGAGACATGCTGGGATGGAAGGTAAGATTGTGTGATTAGAGCTTGCCCATGTTAGGTTATAAGAAAGGTCTTTAATTTTTGAAATGCATGCCCACAGTTTCCTTGCAAGCAATCAGTTTTTCATGGTAAAATGTGAATAATCATTATTTTGGTACCCATACTTCACATAAATGCAGTGGATATTTGTCAATTGTAATTCAAGACTGTATGCTGATGTTGCTGAACTTGGACACTTTTCTTGCCACAAAATTCTCAAAAAATCTCAATTCAACATTGGTGCTTCAAAATCACATACTGCTAGCTAGATCCAATATGATTGCTTCAAGCAGGTGCTTGATAGCTTGCCTGAGGCAGTAAGGAAAAGGGCACTGTGCAAACTAAACCTCTGAACAGGCATCTTTGCAGCTGTGGGCATTAATGAAAAAGAACCACAGAAAAACCACAGGCTTGTTCTTGCAGAAGTCTCCATGACCCAAGACGAATACCATCTTCACCCAAGGCTGAAGAAATGTAAAGCATTTGGACAGAACACCACCAACAGCAGCACTTTCTAAAAAGAGCAGGCACTAGGCTAGCTTGTCATAATACTGTGTAAAGAAGAGAATGGCCACCCCCCCCCCCCCCAGATCATTACCTCTCCAAGACTCTGCCTCTCCTGTCTCTCCTCGTAGGCAGAAGTGTAGAAGGGCTCGTAAGTAATTAGGTCTGGACGCTCAATATCATAAATGGCCTTGACTTTGGGAATGGCTGCTAAATCCTTATAATCAAGGATCTCATTGTCTACTTTTGCCTGAAGGTCAAAGGGAGAAAATCAATTAACATACAAACACAAACCTGTAAATTTTGTTGTATGCAGTTCCTTTTTTGAGGAACATTGTTCTAAACCGCCCCCCCTTTGATTTTAAGTTTAAAAGAAGCAACAATCCCCCCCACCACCCTTTAGCCTGTTCAACAGAATGGCATTTGTTGCTTTATCATTGTTGCATTAAAGCCTGCATTTGGCAATGTATCATTCTTAGTCTGCTATGCATTCTAAATCCAGCTCTTGCACTAACACTGTGGGTAGTGTTTGGGAAGTGGCTTCCTTATTTGGGGTTTAGTTTTCCGATCTGTCATACATAGAATTGCCCCAGCCAATCTATCTCAAGGACATGTTGGGAACAGTTCAGGCCACAGCCCATTGACAGATAGATAGACAGACTTGATTTTTATTATTGTAGTTAATCACGTTGCTGTTCCACCCATCCTCAAGAATTCAAAGCAGCTTACAAATAGCTAAAAGGCCACAGGTTATTTGAGGGTTGCTGTCCCCTCCAGCAAGGAGTGCCCCCATGTATGGACGGCATAAGCTGCATCTGGGCAGGCAATTATGCTGAGGCTGAAATAAGGCCATAGTGACTGGAAAAACTCGGCTGGTGAATCAGAGCTGTGTTTTAGCTTCTCTTTTTAAGGTGCCTTTGGCTTTCTGTTCTAAATCAGAAGGATTTTGTTGTTTTTGTACTTTTTCAAACCTGAGCTTGCCAATATCTCTGCTTTATGGGTGGGTGGTACAGTTTTGGCTGCATAAACATTGGCTCCCACCTTGTGGTTGAGAAATAATGGCTCAGTTTAGCAATTCTAAACATGTTCTAAAGTCAGTTCGGCTGAGGTCAGTGGAAATTACTCCCAAGTAAGGTGTCCACAGGATTTCAGTGTGCTGTAAGTAGCATACCTACTCAGAAATAACTCGCACTGAATGTAATGGGCTTCACAGTGTTATACTGTTAGTGTTGTAGTATTGAAAGGTAAACTTTATATTTTCCAGTTTCATTTATGTGCTTTTAACTGATAGAGAAATGAAATAATCTAAAACATTTGGAAAACACTGAATTTGAATACATGGGAGTAATGTTTGCAGAAGTTATGAGAATTGCTATTAAGAGTTTTCTCATTAAAAATATAGTTACATATTTCAGTCAGCATTTATTGCCTTTTGTTTGTGATAGCAAACATGTGCTAAAATAACTTTACAAACATGTGCATTTAATTATAATATACATCCTCAAACTTGTTTTAGAATACCGTCTAGGCTTCACAAAATGATCCTGTGAAACTGTAACTTTTGAAAGCCAATTTTGGTTAAAACCAGAGCTTCATGTCTGGACATTTTAAAGCTACTACTATTAAGACATTTTAATTACTCCCTTGTGCACACAATGCATACATAAAAGTTGCCTGGTATTGCAGATTAAAGGCTACACTACATAATGAGAAGTTGTCGTAGCCAAGTTTGGCAAAGATTCTGAACCCACCCATGTGAACACACTGGCTGTACTTTGGGATGAGCTCTGTAGCTTGAGATCAGGAGTTCATAAAGAGTCCTCCTTTAAAAAGCACACCTGTCCTGGCAGATAACAAAGTGAAAAACCCCCACTGTCTGTTTTGCTTGCCAGAGTAATATGCTTAGTCCACAACAGGATATTTCTGTCTTGCACAAATCTAAGGGAGAGCATCATGACCCACTGGAACAGACATGGGCATCATGTTGACTGCTTTTCATCTCCCACTGTTGACATCCATTATCCTTGACTTTTAGATCATTTGGAGACATCCTATGAAGATGTCTGTGCTTTTCCCTAAAGAGGGTGCCAGTTCCTAGCAGAGCTCCAGGCCTAGATGAGCATCCCCCCTCCACTGATCATTTGATGGTTTTCCAGCTTCAATACATTTTTTTCTTGTATCCTTAAAAGGATTAAAGGCCTTTCCTAAGGCCTGGTTCATGGAAGTAAGAACTGCAATCTATTTTGGCCCTTCCTCTTTTGCCCAAATCATGCCAACCAGTGGAATGTGGCCCTCAATGGTTTCTTCAATATGGGACCTTGCACTTGAGCTGAAAGAGGCTCCACAGCACTTGAACTATTGCATCTCTGTAGAAAGCCACAGGTATCCTGAAGTCCAAGCAACTTTACTGGTTCTTGGACTGCTCTACTTCTACCATTATCCTTCCTCATTCCACTGTCATTTCCCCCCTTCCTGGTAGGACATTCCTTCAAAAGTACTTTGGAACAGCCTTGATGATAGATGACTAATGGATTAATACTCTGCAAAACAAATTCTCAAAGTTTATGCATGGCATGGGTTTTTGGCAGAGACCTTTAAGCATGCCTGGTGCAAGTGTGTATCAATGGAGGCTGTGATAATGTGATCTCACGGCTACCCAAAAGTTTCAGTTGCTATTTCTTCATGAAGAAGTCACTAATAAATAATCAATTACTATTAATTAAAAATATGAAACTATACTTACATAGATTGAATGCCCTGGTGAGCCAGGTATACTGGATCCAGGTCTAGAATAAATACTTTCCGAGGACGTTCTTGTAGGCTAAAAATAGAAGAACAAAACATTTATCTGTAAAAGTATGGGTGGCCTTTACATTCTGTTTGAAACAAATATCTGTAGCATTTTCAAATTTCCAAGTCAAAGTTTCTCAATGAAAACTGAAGAGCTTTCATTATGAACTTGTGAAGCAGGCTGTGTTTCTCTGATGTGCAGAAGACACCACACTTAGTGTAGAGGAAGCCTTTTCTCTATAGCATACCCAGCCAGCAAGGATGAACACAAACCACCCATACAGCATACCAACATCCTTGCCCATTCCTGGGAACGCTCTTGCTTGAGCATGCTGGAACCTAGCTAAATAAACTGCGGTTAGGCTCCAGAACCGCCTGTGCTACAGATGTGCCACCAAGACTTACATTACTACAACAACGTAACAAAAATGGGTGGGAAGGAGATATGGCCCAATATAGCTAATCAAAGAGAAAGGAAATATCCCATTTCGAGTACTTTATAAGTGACAATAAATTATTTTTTGTTTAAGGTGCAAAACAGCATATATGTTTACATCACTGCAAATACAGCAATAATGCAGATAGGTTCAGCATTACATTTTTAATTAGTGCACAAGAGCAATTAAGCTGTTAGAAAGAAACACAATATTTCTTACAATAATTTACCATGTACAGCTTTCAAATAGCCACCATACTGAATATCAGTCAAGTTCCACAAAATTGTCAACACAATGCAGTCAATTTTGTTTACTGCTTCAAAATGTGCCAAAGATTCTCAAAAGATTTGTTTGTGATTGGCCAGCATTGCTTTCTTTTCTCTCTTCTGCCCCATTCCCAGTGCATTCTGCTTCTTCTCCTTATGGCTGGCTCTGCCACACAATGAGGTGAAGTGCTGTGCTTCAAGTGTCACTGCTATAATCCAACAGGTAGATGAAAGCAAGAACTGGTGTCAATAATACAGCAAAATGTTGCACAACAGAGGAGTGGTTGTACATGCACTGTTTGGCTCCACTTCAGGCAGCAAAATGCTTTAAGCCATCAGTGTCCCTCCTTAAATTTATTCAATCGCTGTATTTTGTTTGTTGGGTTGAAACCGGAACCTCTGTATTTTTAAAACCACAGTTCAATTGGGAGATGAAGCAGACACATCTCCTGCTTCTTTTTTCCTCCAGTTCTTTAACCTGTCTACACCTCCCACATCTGCTGCAGCAGGAAGAATCATGTCCTTTGTGACATGCAGTCAGAAGGTTAATCAGGAAGGCAGAAAACAGAACAGGGTAGAAGGGAAAGGGTGTGAGAAACCATGGTTGCTTCTCTCCTGATTCAGTGCTGGATTTAAGAATTGGAATGATTTAAAAGGCCCTAGCAACCCTTTTGTAAATCCATTTTGGGGTCATGCCACCTTGTTCTTGGATTGTAATAGGCCTGGGCCCTGAGTAGAGATTGAGTGCTTGTTCATATTAAAGACATGTTCAAAAAACTGCTTTTACCATCCCTAGTTAGGCACAGTAGCAAACATCCAGGGACGCGGCAGGAATGTGTCCTAAGGCAGTTATCTGTTTTCCTGAGATACATCCACAAGGAGTGAGGGGCAAGCCAAGGATGTAGGATTCCCACAGCACGCTGGTCTTGCATTGGTTCTCATTGGTTATGCATGTTGTGGGACTACTACTGGGGACTTTCCTAGTAACTGAACTCTGGAAATCTGAAGTGCACCTGATCACTTCATTCAGAATAGGCTGGGGATATCTTTATTCTAGAATGGGAATGGGCAAAAATTATTAATCCTCAGCTCTATATCATGCCCTTGAAAGAACCCAAAGCTGCACAAAAATAGCCAACCTGATGACCTCTAGAAGTTTTGGACTAGAGCCCCCAACAGCCCTTGGCAGATAGGCAGTAGTCAAGGATTATGAAGCTGTAGTCCATAAACCAAGAGTGGAAAACAACCCTCAAAATAACCCATGAACTACTGAATGTGCTGGGGGTGAAAACACATTTGTACAACAAAATAAGATAGAATGGATAACTAAAATACTCAAAAACTATAATCTAAGTGATGTCATTTTTCATTTCAATAAAAGTCAGTGTATATCTTTTGTTAGCCTTCCCAAATTCAGCCATGCAAAAACAAATGAACACCAAAAGCTTACATTTCACTACAAATATATTCAAAATAAATTATGAGACATTTACATTTTTAAAAGAATAAGTCAAATAAATTTTAAAAACCCACAGTTAATTGCATCAGAAAAAGATCAACATGCATGAATAGAAATGCAAAGCACAGAGCTAATCTAAACATATGGGAACATGGATTTCTCTTCAAAGGAATAAACTACTTCCCTCCGATCACTAAATTCATCCAGGGAACTTTATGAACATGGCAGATGCCCATTCATCAGTCATCTAAGTATTCTGTCCTGCAAAACTCTTAAGTTGATTTCACTGTGGCCCCAATGAAAAGAAGCCAACAACAAGATATTTTGTATTGTTGTGACACTGATCTCACCCTCTTCCCACAAAACACTTCTCTACCGTCACATTTGTGACCTTGGAGAAGCAGCCAGTGTGGTTCTTCCCACACCAGTTTTGAGTGCTAGTAAAGGCTTACTGAGCATGGAATCCAAGCTCTGAACTCAGAGGAAATTTCTGAAAAATTCTGCAGCTGCCTAGACACTGTGTAGGCACCATAGGATTGAGCTGTCCAGGTAGCTGGATATTTTAATTGAACCTCTGCCACATTTTCACTCTTGATATTTTCAAGGTGAAACAGGACCTTTTCAGAGGCATCCCATCCCTTACAAATTATTACCTTATTAATTGCCTTTTGCAGTGATCCACAGTTCTCATTTTCCCCTCTGCTGCTGGTCTGATTCCACTTTTTTCTTGGAAGACTTCTTTCTTCCCTGGTGCTTCTGCACAATCAGGGATCAATCAGGGAACATAACAACTTCATGACACTGTGTAACCAACTGGGTGACATCACTGATGGCCAAAAAAATCAAAACCCCACAGATTCTCTACTTAAATTGGTATAAAGTGGAAATGTCTCCAGGAAAAGTCAACTGGACTGCCTTGGCAACAAAGACTCTCATTCAAACACGGAGTAAACACCAATGCTGTCCATCCACATGGCAAGGATTGCAGTGGGATATGAACCCACATATCCACCTTGTGGTATTAAATAGGGCTAAGGAGACCTAGCCCAGTTGCCTTGGAAACAGAGATGTTTCCTTTCCCAGCAAACTTGTCCATGACCTTTCAAGCCCCAAAAAAATCAGGAGAAAGAGGGATAAGTGATGCTTCCCTCCACTGCCTTTTAGCTGAATGCCATTTAACAATTAAACTCTCGGTGAACTTGTCCTTGTCACTCACTGGCTAACAACCAAGGCCAGAGAACAGCGATTACACACTGCAGTGAAGCAAACCATGTGTCTTCCCAACATCTTTGTGGAAATAGTTGAGCTGACAAAAACAAGGCTGTAGGTATTTTCTGTAAGCTTTTCTGCCAAGAAGTCAGTCTCTCAGCTTTAAAATAGAGCTTATTACACCAAGCAAAAAGGATGTGTATAGATTAGTTTTGGATTTTTTAATGGGATGCTAAAAATGATATTGAAGTTTGTTCTAGAAAGGTTGCTACCCTTGAGCAATATTTCCTAAGAAAGAATGTAGTGAACCTCAAGATGGTTGGAGCTACGGCAGAGTAATCATGCTGTAAAAGCAATGGTATGATTTTGCTGTTTTAAGGCAATAAAAAGATAACGTAACATAGAGCATCACTAATGCCCTGTATCTTGGACATTATACAAACACATAATTTACTTGTGCTTTATGTTTAAGCTCTCTAGTGAAACAATTAAGGTCAAAATGTTTCAAGAATATTGATACAGCTGTTGCCTTATTCTCTTATCCTCAGCTTCATAATTGTTTTCCTCACTGTTCCCCTCCTCTCCATTCAATTTTCTTCACTTACTAGCTTTCTGGGGTTTTGACCTTTAGCAAAATGTTTGTTGGACAGCTCAGCATCCCTCATAATCCCACTTGGCTGTTATCACTCTGAATTCAGGTGAAAACGTTATCTTTATTGACATATCTCTGACAATCCAAAGTGTAGCTTTAAAAACATTTCAAAAGATCCTACTGTTAACATCTTCAGCATTGTGCATGAATATACAACTCTATGCTTAAAGAGATAAAACTCTAAAACTCCTTAGAGTTTTCAGGCTTTCTGTTTATTAAAACCCTTTGCCCCCAAACCCCATGGCTCCTTCTCAGTCAGTCACAAAGGGTCAGCTTTAAACATGCCTTTCCAAGTGGAAAGGAAAAGGCAGGAAGGGGGAAGCATCACTTCTATTTTTCATACTTCTCCACGAAGAAAATTAAACAGATAGTCTGATGATTGTAAGGATTTTGTATCCTCCTCCACCCCCTGAAGAGTGCTGTCCTACACTTACACATATCACTTGGAATTGCCGGGAAACAGTTTGCTTTGTTTGGCTTGTTTCTTAACAAGCCTTGGAGCACAAAGACTGTATCTGTTGTCACACGGTTTTCACACATATGAGAGCAAGGCTGCAATTCCGCGAACACTTACTAAGAAGTAAATGCCATGGAATTTAGAAGGACTTCCAAGTAAGCTCACACACAGGATTGCTGTGCAAGTAAGTAATCTAAGAGAGGATGATCTTATCCTCAGATTCTGCCTTGAGATAAGATTGGTGCAAAACAAGCATTCAATAACCCAGAAGTGTCATGTGCATAATTCAGTGGAACAAGAGAGGGCAAGCAAAATGGAGTGATTTGATCTAAGCATACTTGTATATGAAGGAGGCCTTGTTGACGCAGCACTGTTCTTTACTCTTGAGGAACACTAATCCTCAAAGAACAATTTTAACTTTACTGTCTTCATGATGACAGCTTTCTTCTCAGTATCCCTCAATATATGTTGTTACTCTATGCTTGTCCTTTGACTTCAATTACATCTTAGGGCATATGATGCTCTTTGTTGCTGCTGCTGAAATACGTATCATTCTTGTGAGATATTTACTTCCTTAATTAAAAATCTTGATGAATAGCACCTCTGCTTTGCCTTGACATTGATTTTACCATGCACACAATTTAGACAGATACTTCTAAAAGCACTGGAGCCATCCACATCTTCCGGACTGATGTGATGGCTGCCACTTTTACATTACAGATGTTCAAGTCATGCTCAGTGGAATTAGATGGGACAAGTAAGCCACATCTGAAATAATCCCTTGAACATCAAGCCAACTGGATGCACTAGTGTAAAGTATAAGGACATTGTCCCAGTGCTGCTTACAGTACCTGCCTTAGCTTTTTGATGGTGTTCAATATACAAGGTGGTGAAAACAGCTGGAGAAGAAGGAACAGTTTGGATTTGGTTCGCAATTATGCTACAGTCACTTAACATCGGTAGCAATAGTTCAAGCAACAGTTCCTCAGAGGCAAAATTGTATAGATTATACAGAACTTATTAAAGTGCAGATTTAGTCAACAAATACTTTTCATTACGGCATTGCTTATGGAAATCACTATAGGACACCATAAGTAGTATTTAGCTTCATTCACACATAATCCCAAACCTTGGGTCAGGAACCTCAGGCTCAGAAACCAAATCTGGAGTCCTAATCTGTCCCGGTGGGGTTCTCCAAATGACCCTATTTCCCCAACCACTATTTTGATGGCTTTCCATTTTTGTACAGTTTTCCTATATTCTAAAACACTAATTCTAATTCTTATTAGCACTGAAAGCTACAATGCAGATATAATGTGCTGATTTGTGTTTGTATTTGGGTTCCTACCCTTGCCTTCAGCCCCAGCCATCAAGGGAATGTTATCTTTGAAAACTTTTCTGAAACTGAATTATTCCTCAGGCTGAAAGAAGGTCCCTGCCTGGTGCTAAACCATGGTTTAACATTTTAAGGATGGGTTTACTCATTTCCCCTGACTTTCTCTTCCTCTGGCATGGCTGCAAGGAAGAGTTTGAAGCTTTTGCTTTTGTTTAAATTACCCGCAGTTTAACATTACACCTGAACCCTACACAGTGGTTTGTTTAATCAAGACAGTGGTACCGCACATGGTTTGAAGTTGATTTGTTTTGGCAAACTAAAGTTAAGATTAACTGGCAGTTGGGTTCCTGCAACACAACAAGCTGCAGTGCTCCCAAACTAAGGCCAAAGCTTCAGAAATGTTTAAGGGTAGGCTAGACATGCACATGGTGGGCATGTCGTAAGCGGAGCTGGCTGGAGCTGGGGATCAGACTAGATGGCCAGGAGACCCCTTCTGACTCGATCTGTTACTATGTTTCTAAATGCTCCTTCTGTCTTTGTTGGAGGAGGAAGGGGGAGTGCATGAAACCAAGGCAACCATGTGAAACACCAACAACATTTGTTCAGCGGAGCTCAGAGCCAATCTACAAATGATACCATGAAATTTGTTATAATTCCCCTGCATGTTTTTAGAGAGATACAGGGTTGGGCAGTGGGAGAGGGCTGGAAATGTGTGCTTTGTGATTAAATTGCCTTTTCCACGCTGCTTTCCTACATATGGAGGAAACACTCTAGGCTGCTGGTGGTGGTGAGAATTCATCCCATATGAATGTTCCATGAAAAAGGAGTAAACACTTCTTTAGCTCTGCTGCTGAAATTAAACTTGATACTCTATTTCCTTTTTTTGAAAAAGATGACTGTGACATCAATCATGCATCTCTGGGCATCCCATTGTAGTTTGGTGCTCAGTTCATCACTTAACTCAGTCCCTAGTTTCTCTTTAAAAAATTATATTTGTTCAGAATTTGTCCAAAGACCTGTGAAATCAATAGAAATGGCAGATGGTATTAATCCATGTCTTCAGCTCCCCATATAAACAATATCACATTTTTAGGTCTTGTATTATGTGATCACACCTTGGAAATTTGGGAGTCACATCATCTTATGAATCAAGATGCAAAGAAACACTAAATGCAATGGGTGGACTCAGAAGACAATTAGAAAGGCTACTGCCAGTGGTGCTGCCCATAGTCCTCCCATGTGTACAACATGACGCAGACCTTGCTAGCTCTTAACTACCAGTTCCAAGTGGAGTGTAACGATCAAGACAATCTGTTGCAGTGAAATGTACAATTCCTTTCGGCTTTCCTTAAAGCTTTCTTCCCAAGTGCATTCTCTCAGAGACTGCTGACACTTTCATCTCCCCTGCCTTCAGCCCCTCAGAATAAAACCTCTGCTTTGGAGTATCTAGCTTAGACATAGTAAAAGAAAGATTACTAATGAATTTGGATAAATCCAAGCAATGCAGTGGAACACTGCAACACTCACTATAAGGGGGGTGGCGGGGAGAGGCGGGCAGGCTCTTAAAGCTTTCAGAGTTCCATCAATCCATAGCTTCATTTCCCAATTCCCCCACTGGATGGACACATGACTTTAACAGCAGATGGAATTCAGCAGATTAAGCTCTCTCTGGAAGAAGGTGCAGTGATAGGATGAACAATCTATTTAATTTCAGCTCCTCTTGTGACCATTACAAAACACAGGACGTTCAAACCCCTTGTCAGAGGAGGCTGCAGATCCTGCTTGTAAGCCTACTTGTGTCAAGAAACTTCCCTTCCCACAGTGTTCATTAACTTGCAACGGCACAGCACTTTATTCAATAAATAACACACCACACTGCTATTATTTGTTCTTCATTCCCGTCCTAAGTAGATTGACAAGAATAGCAAATAGAGTGGTGGCACATGTTCTGTCCCTTCCTCCAGAAACTAAGTAAAGGAGAAGAGAAGGTATTGTGCTTGATACCCTGTGAACTGGGCCTGCATACAGACCAAAAGCCACTGACTGTCCCCTTTGTCCAAAGATGACTTGCTTGAACAATTTCTGTATTCATTGGAATCCATTTTGGTTCCAAGAATCCTGGGTAGGATGACAACAGTACATGGAATTTACAACTACCTATGAATATAGCAAAGGGGTAAGTTTTTAAAGTAGTCATACATCTCAACTTCCACTGGAACAAGTTCAAGGAAGTAGGATCATTCTTTTGAGAGCGTAGTCCTCTGAAGCTGCCCCATAGCCTTCTGAATGCAGAAAGTTTCAGACATCTAACCATATATGGAGAAAGCAAGGAAGCAAGGATTGCCTCCAAGCTCTCCTCTATCCCAGAAACATTAAGATGGTTGTCCTTAAGTTTTTCTGCTTCTTGTAAGGAGGGACTGGGGCACTGCCTGGATTTGACAGAACCAGCAGTGCCTCAGTCCTCCCATTCCTGCTTTCCAGAATGCTTCTCCAACACCTGTCCTGAAGATGGTCTTCCACCTTTGGGGCCTCAGTAAGGAATGAAGTGTACCTGTTGAGAAGGTGGGATGGGAGATCTCCAAAGAAAGGGTTGCCACTGTGACCTTGGGGTGGGTTTTCCAGTCAGTATTTCAGTCAAGATTCCACATTTTGTTATGGCTGGTCAGACAACATCTACTAGCCATAAGATAGATCAGTAAGGGTACAAACTTCACTTGATGACTAAAGGTATAACAATTGCCCAGTTTGTCTACTCAGGATCCAACATAGTAGCAATACCCAAATAATCAATATCAGAGTGATATCAGACAGTGTTTCTGTGATCCAAAGTTATCACTTTTTGTAACTTTGCCAAACATACACATTAGCAACAAACACTGAAACACCACATCTCGTGTGCCACTTTTTAGGAGAAAAAATGGCAGCTGTGACAATATTATTATGCAGAAATAAAAAAAAATAGTGTTATGTGGTTCAAAAGAATAGGCGTTCAAGCAAAAAGTGAATAAAGGAAATGATGGGATGATTAGGTAGCAATAGCAGCCTGCAAACCTTAGTGCAGAAATCAAAGTTCCTTGCACACAAATGCCAGTTAAAATATATTTGCCAGTTAAAAACAAATGCACAATGGCAAACCTCTGAGGATCGTGGCCTGCGAAGAACCAAACTCTTTGGATAAAAGAAATCAGATGAAGAACGCTGCCATAAAACACATAACAAGAAAAAAAAAAGCAAAAGAGGTAAAGGTTTCTCTTACATATAAAGGAGTTTCTCTGTGCCACAAAGATTATCAACATCTCCTTAAAATCCACTGTAAACTTTAACAATATGAAGCATATCAATGGGTGCATCCTGTCAAATGCAGAGTCACACACTGGCAGGGAACCATGACAGAAACAAACATGCTTGCCACTTTTACACCATATTGCTTTATTTCCTGCTTATTTGGGCTTCAGTGACCTTCAATGAAAAACGTCCAAGGGAAAATGGATCTTAAGTAATCATTGTTTTTACGGACTCCACCTAAAATCTAAACTAGCGAGAACTCTCAAGGACGGTATAATCCAGAATGGTCTGTGGATGAAAAACAGAATGTAGCAATCCTGTCAAAGCTGCTTCAAGAACAAGAGTTCTGGTTGTGTGTATTTTGGCTTGCATGAAAAAAAGAACATAATTTTGATTCTGTGTAGCATTAAGTGCCTTCTGTGATTACCACCTCCCAGGAAGTATTCTTTATATTCTGGGTGTGTGTCTTAGCATGCTGAACCATCTTCATTTAAGGAAATTGCATTTGCTCATAGCTGAGTGAGCAAGGAAGAGATAGTTGGAGAGAATATCTGCCGTTCCCTCAGGAACTGGGAATAAGCCAAAGGAATTTTGAAAGGTCAGTCTGAATTAGATGAAGGATTCTGAACATGGCTGTAGTGTTGTTGTGGATACTGAAACACAATTCAAAGACTATTGTTGCATCTGTAGCAACGATATTGCCACATACCAACAACAGATAAACATTTTGGTCAACACAGAGCACACTGGCTTTTCTGTTCCATGAATGGTCTGCACAGATATGAACAAATTATACAATTTTTTAAAATGGACTATTCTTGAACCTCACAATTTATCACTAGCTCAGCTTCAAGCACAGCTTAACCAAGAAATTCAGGAAGCAACCCAGTGCTGAAGACATGCTGAAGTTTAACAGTGTCAATCCAATGGTTCTCCTGCACCCTTTGAATGTTAGGACAGTTGATATTCCTTTGTTTTTCCAGCAAGACAAAAATTCAGTCACCATCAGATGTGGAGAGTTTTATTTTGAATCATATATTTGCCATTCCCACATGTGGTTTTGCTGCAGCTAACAGGATCTGTACCAATAAATCCCAGAGGGAAAGCTTCACAGAGGATTGCAACAAGAACAACGATAGCACCATAAAACCCAAGCAATAACCCAGCATAGACACACTTCATAAAAGGCATGAAGACCTAAGTGTAAAGGAGACTCAGAAGTAGAAAGCCCTTGGATGGGGGCCAAACTACCTGCTTGCTGTGTGGGAAATGAAACACTCCTACATGGGTTGACCCTAAATAAGCAGTAAGCAGTTTACATGCCATCCTAAAGTTGTCTGCTCAGACATAAGCCCACTTACTCCCATGGGACTTACTCCCAGGCAACTGTACTCAGAAAGCTTGTTGTAAGCCGCCCCGAGGCTTCGGCGAATGGGGCAGCATAAAAATGTTTTAATAAATAAAATAAATAAAAAAAAAGCAATCTCAAACACAGATTAACAGAAATAAGTCCTACAACTCCCAACGTCTCAAAGCTAGTCACGCTGCCTGGGGGATGCTTTATTTCTGCCTAAACATACATAGGACACCTTAGAAAACCATTGCTTCTCTACAGAAGTAGCAGTGAGATGGGGAGAAATCAACTCTGCAAGAGCAAGCTGTCAAGAGTGCGACTTCACCAGAATGTATCCTTTCCTTATATAAAAAAGTAAAATCTTACCTGTAGCTTCTCTTCTCCCTTTGTGGACTGCTTACAGTCGGGATGCCAAACCGTAGAGCCTAAGAGGAAAAGAATAAGTCATGTCATATTGTATTACAGTTCAAAAGACAGTGAGTGAAAATATTTTCTTTCAAGCTTCCCTTGAGTGGGAAGTTCCACAGCAGCAATGCTGCTCCAGTCTCTCTTTGGTGAAGAGTTCAGTGGAAGTTTAATGGTTGTTTTGAGACATTCTGTTAGTGTTGTGCCAAGATGTCTACCACATTTTTCAACCATTCTCATTCAATTTGACGGGAAAAAAAATATTTCTGAAAAGAAAGTCAATGGTGAAGAAATTTCAGAGAAATTTTTGTGAAATTATCTTGTACTGGCATTGATTTCTACTACTTAACTTATGTAGAAGATGACTAAGGAGTGTCTTATATTGTATAATCTTATCTTGGACAGTCTGTTGCATGCTCAGCTTGCCACATTACATCCAGAGCCCAGGAAAGGCAAAGCGGGATCATTCCTCCCTCAGGGCTTTGTACAATCAAAGTACAAGCAGACCAATGCAGAGATGTGTAGCAGAAAGAAAATGCACACCCAGTGCCTTGGGGCCCCTCACATTGGTTAAGGAAGCTCAAAAACACCTCCAAACATGTATAATGAAACTCCCCAATAATGAGCCAGAGCTATGGAAGCCTCTTCCATGTGGGAAGAAAATGTTCAGGAAATTGGAAAAGAGGTTTTCGCATAGCACTAGCTCTGCCCTTTTCCCAGATGCAACCCTGACCCTCCCCCACAAACACTTGCATTGCCATGGATGCAAAATGGACACCTGACCACCAAAACAATTGATGCTGCTGCCACAGCAGAACCAAAGAAACAAGACCACCACCAGGATGTGGTGCTACAACCTCCAAAACGGGCAAGCCTCCGGTTGGAAAAATTCAATGAAATTGTTCCCCTCAAACAGTGAGCCATTTTTTACAGCTCAAACACGTGTATAGATGTATGGTAGCCCAGATACTATAGGACATGCCTGGGTTTTAAGATCCTTTGGATTGCCATCTTGAGCCCTCTGGTCTTCCACCACTGAGCATGAATGTAAGAGAAGACCATCTAGCTGACTGCTCTCAAACTCTGGTGCACCTTGCCAACAGAGGTCAGGCCGTGTAGATTTCTGGCATCATTTCATGGACAGGCAAATACATTTGTATTCACCCAGGGTTTTTGGCTTTTAAACTCAGTTGTTGGTTAAAGTAGAGTTTAAGTAGTGAGTGCTGTATGTTTCTATTTTATTGATATTTTTCAACAGTTTTAATTAGGTATTTCATTTGAACTTTATTGTTGTTAGCTGCCCTAACACTGGTTTTGGTGGAAAGGCAGAGCAAACATTTAAGAACTAAACAAATGTGAAAAAAAGAGAACAGGCTAGACAAAAAAGAGACTAGCTAGACATACAGCACTGATGTTTGTGGCAGGAGGGAGACAGAATTGTGTCAGCCAGCTTTCTGCCAGGACCTTCTGATGAAGAGAAAACCTGTTGCACCAATTAATGCCACTGTACTAGGGGGTGCTTATGTTGGCTCAGGGTAATTTCTGTTAGCTCTAGTGTCACACCAGACACAGCCCACGGATAACATTAGACTCATCAATCAACAGTGTTTAGCTATAATGACTGAAGAAACCTCTGTACAGGGGAGAACCAATAAGGGATTCCTTTGTCCATCATGGTCCACCTGTAGTGACTCAACTTGGACTCAGCTGAGGAGCAACAAGCAAGTGTCTCAATCCGATTCAAGATTTCTGACAACCAAGTTGCTCCAGGGCTTACTGCCTACATCCAATGTGCAGCAGGATATCCTGGGGCAATCTTGACAGAAGGCATCTGAGATGGACTGGAAGGCAGGCACAAACACAGCAGAGGCGGTGGGAGGGAGGGAGCTTCAAGGCAGTGGGCAGGGGCTGCAATACAGGGGATTCAGGGGATTCAGTTCTTTTTCACTTCGCCTGCCTGCTGCCTCTGCTCAGTTACGACACATTTCCAGGAAGAAATGAACAAGAACGACTTAAACAACAACTGGTCATGGTGGGATGCCTCCAAAAGTGGGAGTGTACTGTATACCCATGATAATCCAGAATTTGTTGCTTTCAACATCTGTGCAATTCAGATAGCACTTTATTTTGTCCTAAAGTCCATCATGGAAAGAAGAGCCTGAACTTGGGTAGAAAACCTGCATTTATCAGGCATTTTTCAGGGCAAACTCCAGAACACTGGGATCAGTATCAAGAAGTTATATTTAGCCAGATAAATTAAGGCTGTTGTAGGGTGTGTGCATACGTGTAAACACCTGCATTTTGGGTTTTTGGGGGGCAATCATGTTAAGAAAGTCATTTTTCTAAATTGGAATACTCAAATTCAAACAACAACGCAGCTATGTTTAATTGTGGCTGAAGTAAAGGATTTCAATGCATCCCTTAGAGAAGTGCAGATGGGAACATGGGGGGGGGCACAACTCTCCCACCCCACCTCACACCCCACTACCACCTCCTTTTTCTTTGTTTTGTTTTATTAAAGTTGGTTTTTGAGACTTGCAAAGAACTAGCTACTTGACTCAAAATTTCTTGCAATGATTTGAGACTTGACTTGAACTTGAAAGTAAAGACTTGACTTGAGATTTGGAGTAAAAATCATGTTACTGCTTATATAGACTCTGGTCTGCCCCAGTAAGCCAATCCTCACATTTCAGTTTCTAAAAGAGGCAGACTTTATCATTCCAGTCTTCTATTTAGGGATTATCCTCCTCTTGGGACTGTTGCCCAATAAATAAAGAGTGCTGATAGTTACTGTTAAAAGGGCTTCTGCAAACCGAAAAAAACTTTTCAACCTTGCCTTTACAAAAACAAAGCCCAAGTCAGCAGCATCAACCAAACCCTATTATGTTGACTTTAAACCCCATTTGATGCAGGTGGGGAAGAAAATGCCTGACACTAAAAAGAATAGGGGGAAAGGCCAGGAACAGTGCTGTGTGTTTTATTAGCCACTGTGCAAAATATAGAGCAAAGAAAATCCTTTTCCTAGGAAGATAGAAGAATTACAGATAAAATGTCAGGGTAAACGTCACTTCTTATTCTAAATGGTCTTTTTTTAGCACTGTAATAAAGAACAATGATGCCTTTTTGTTTCTGTTGCCAGCGTGCCTCACCATAAGCATTACTTCTCAGAAGGATGTTGGATCCACTTCGGCACTGATGGCAGGTTTTAAGTATGGAGTAACGAATATGACAAGCTGCTCTTTCAGCAGAGTATGGTATCAAAGATTCCCATGTCTTGAGAATACTTGGCTCAGAAGCAGAACTCCGGAAGCTTACACTCTGGGCAGGGAACATAATGCTCATGAGCTAGAGTCAATCTGCACACTCCCTGATCACGTAGTTTCACACTGTAAGTCACAGGAAGGCCGGGGAGTAGAGATCTGGGTTCTTTCTCCACACATTCATTGTTCATTTATGTATGTGTTTTTCTTTATTTTTAAAAAATAAGGGTCCAGCTTAGCCTTCCACAACCTGGTACCCTCCAGATATTTTTAATTTATGTTTATCAGCATCACTGCCCATTTAGCATGCTGGCTGGGCCTGACAGAAATTGTAGTCCAAAATATCTGCAGGATACCAGGTTTGGGGGAAGTTGAGCTAGCCCTCTTCGTTTTTACTTGTGGAAATACAAGGGGAAAGGACAGGATGTAAATATAATAAAATAAATAAATACATATCCAGCTCTATTTAAGGTCTGGATGTTTGTTTTGATTTGTCTCACTATCCCGGTATGTTCTTAGGTCCTCTCAAACTAAAATGTCTGACTAGAAATTTGTACTGAGGAAAAGTGACCAGTCTGAATTTGGCTGGAAATTTGGTTTCCAGATGCCACTCAGGATTTTGGTTAGAAGACGCAGATAAAGCATTGATTCAGAAAGCACAGCAGTTCAGTTAAATACCCAACTCGGCCACTGACAGCTTGACTCCTGTACTGGCTCCTGAAGTACTCATTTTCATTAAATATGTATTCAGTCCTGCATTATTCTGTCATGTGTTATTGCACTGATAGGTTGCAACTACAGCATAGCAATCAATGGCTTTCAGCATCATGCTAATGATGTGCTACCATAAACCAACACCTGTATAATACAACTAAGTATTTATTTATTTGGATTCGCATAAGCCTCAGGACAGCTTCCAACATTATAAATACATACATATATAAAATCTGGAAACATCCTGGCACAAAACTATAAAACCAATAAATAAGATCAATGATTATTAAGATATCATTTAAATAAAAAGGTCTTGGCCTACTTGCTAGTTCATTGAGGAAAAGCAGGAGTTTTGCTGCCAAAATTCAGCAGCACAGTTGCAGAAAGGGCAGAATTTCACAGATTTTGCTTTTCTTCTTGTTTCAAAAGTAAATCAGTGGTTTTTTCCAATGCCACTGAATTTTGGGAGCAAATCGTGGCTTGGCTCTGTAGCAATAACATTATGCAAATATTAGCTTACATGGATACTGTATCATTATGCTAGCACTGAGATTCTGATGGATGCTACCAACCCCTTATACTTATGCAGAAAAGAAACATATCCCAGTGAAGGATGTTAAAACTAGTTTACCCAAAAGCTTTCCACAGTTTACCCTTTGTCCCATAAACACTGGGAGCATTTTAAATTTACTATTTACTGGGTAGTCGACTGAAAAGAATCCTCACATTGGATGGGAATTGAATGGTACTAAATAAAGAATGGAATGTTAACCTGTGTCTGAAGAGAAATCAAGGATTACTTAGAAATAAATGCTTGGAGAACAGGCAGATGCAGCAACATCATGGAAATAGCAACAAAATCTGTGCTTAAAAATTATTTAGCAAAACCAACAGTGCCGCATCTTTTGGAAAGCCTAACATTCACAAAACAATTCTGGAGCAGCATTGAAAAGTTCAAAGACTAACAGAAAATTTTCTCTGAGAAATCTTGGCTCAGATCTAGGTATATACAGATAATAAATAATGATCTGAAATGCAGTAAGTTTAAAAATCCAGGGCAAGTCTGGCTTTATTTCATCTATTTAAAATTTCCCAGTCTGCTTTTTTAAGTGCTCAACGCAGTTCACAAACATGCTATACTCTTACCTTGCAGGTACATTTCTTCTCCTTCTGTGAACATTTGGTTGCATCTGCTGCATCGTGCACAGCTTGGATGGTAATGCTTGTCACCTGCCTGCAGAAAAAAAGCAGAAAAATGTAGTATCACCTAGATCTTCATTTTCAATACTTACCTCAGCTGTAAACTCAGCAGACATATTTAAACTAAGCAGCATATTTTTTTTAAAGCTTACAGCATATCCAATTGCCTTTCAATTTCTTCATTCCAATAAATAAGCTAATATACTGCAGTTGAGCAAATTGCTGACATCCAGGCAATATGAGCAAAGCCTCCATTCATCTTGCACATCTGTTTGTCAATTTACAGACTCACATACCTTACTGCTAAGTCTCACTTTAGATTCAGGGGCACTAACTGTTTGTTTTCATAGCAAAGATTAGTTCACTTTTTTCACTTTGCACTGCTATTAGTACTGACTACTGGAAGCCATTTTGTCCCAGGGGATTACTGGAACTAGCACTTTAATTTAAACCAGCTGTTCAGTGCCTTTACAATGGAACAGGTGCTCAATGTATTGTTGATCTGGGCCAAATTTGAACTAGTAGCCCAGAGGGCACTCTTTTCACTAAATCCCAATCCCTTGAGTCACCCGGCCTTCCCAAAACTCAATACCAAAGCAACTTCAAGCAGAAGATGACACTACAATAACAAAGCCAAAGAGAACTGACCAGCTACAAGCCTTCTGAAACAGTTTTGACCAGACACCTAAAGCAGTGGTGGGGAGCATGTGGTCCTCCAGATGACTGAATGAAACCACCTTCATCCCTAGCCAGAATTGCTAACAGTGAAGGAGTAGTAGTGTCACATGGAGCAAGGCCTCAGATATTCAGGGAACATGCTGGAAGGGATATATGGAGGTAGGCAGTCCTTAATGCAGCCAGCTTTTTTCATTAGCTATAATTACATAGCTTCTCTGAAATAGAGGCCTTCATTAAAAATTGAATTATTAAACACATTAGACCCAATCTAATGAAATGAAGCTTTGGTCTTAGACCCAAGATACTGACAAGGTGTGCTTAGTGACATGAGAAAACCCTGGGCAAGGTCCACGCCCCTGCAGAAAGCTGCCCTCAGAAGCTGTCTTCCCAGCTTGTCCAGACACACATTCAAACCCAGCAGTATTTATATGCAAACAACCTTCTTCATACATTGGCTACTCTAATCATTCATTGCCCTTGCTATTCATTCAACTTACAAGGCTGAAGATAATGCTCTTCTTTTTGATTTTAGAAGACTAATTGCATGGTAGACTGCACAAGCTGTTCAACAAAGCCATGGCTGCACACCTTCTGCCACTGTGTCTGTGTGTGGGATGTCCTAAGGTAAATGTTGCCACCTGTCTTCAGGGTATTCTTTGGGCCTGGAACACTCCAGATTTGGCCAAAGGTCCAGAGTAAATGGCAGCAATGACTGTGCTCTCTCCCTAGCAGGGGCTGAGTGGCAGCTGGCAGGTCTGTAGAACTCTCCACCATTGTATATAAGCTCCCAAGAAAGCCTGCCCAAAATTTACATGCCAGTTCACTTTACAATGTATGATTTCCAAAGTCTTTTACCTGAGATTTTTTCTCAGATATTAACAGACTGAAGTGCAATAAATTGGAAAACGTGCCAATGATAACACAAAAATGTCATCCAACAAGATACAGGTAGACAAATGAAGTAATAAATACCACTAACACTACAATTCTAAATTACTCTAGTAGCAAGTAAGTCCTATTACTTACTTCTAAATAAACCTGGAGAGGAGTATACTGTATATTAACCGAGAAGTGAAGAAAAAATGTACCAGATCACCTTTCCCCAACCTCAAGAGGTTCTGAAGTACAGCACACAGCATTCTAGTCCATGGGCCAGACTAGCTGGCAATGATGGGAATAGAAGGCCAAAACATGGAGAGTACCAGATTGGGGGACACTATTAAGTTGTGGTTTCTTATTTATAGATGAAGACCTAATGATTGTCTCTTTCTTCCTTTCATGTTTGGCAAACATTAGCATGAATAATATAATTAAATATTATTATAATTCAATTATATACATTGTACCTTCTTTGCTCCTTATTCTTATCTACGAACAAATTAAGAGCGAGTGCTTAAGAGCCATCTAAACATATTGAACATAAAAGATGTGCAGCAATATAAATGCAAATGTTTGCATTTGCCAACACCTGCATAACCATGAACTGCCCCCTTTCACAAAACAAAGACATAGTCACATAAACAATTTTTATGCTAATTTAAAGTGCATAAAAGTGCTGATTTGAAATGAAGCACTGCGAGCAAGGAAAGCTGGTTTCTTCACATTCTAGAAAACTTTACTGGATCCTCATCTGATTTCCTGTAAAGACTTGTTTATATTTAACAGGGCAGTTAACCTAAAATTAGAGGTACTTAGAGAACATGAAAGAAACAACTTCAGCTTTCCTAAACTACAGTTTTCTCATTTAAACAAAGTAATAATATGCTTTTGCAAAGATTTTGGAGAATCATAGCTGCAAGGCTCCAGACAAGCATCATCAACTGTTTTTAGAAATTGATCTGACTGGCCAGGTGGAAATCTTTATCAAGCTCCTTGTCATTATTTTTCTGATTTTAAAAATAGAGAATTTCCTGTCAAAATGTAAATTCCAAAAATTTATTTGCAATGCAAATGAAAGGTCTATCCTTCTTTGCATCACTGTGCATGAAGACAACCATGATCAAAGGCAAGTATCATTTTAAAATTATTTATGTTCAGTAAAAAACTGGAACTAAATAAACTTGTTTTTAACCTACACTACACAGCCCAAAGAGATCTTTTAAAAGGCAAAATGTGCTTGCCTCATTGAGCACTGGGTGAAAGAGGAGGAAGAGGAATGAATGAATGAATGAATGAAATAGTTCATGGCAATAAGAACATTAACCTAAAATATGGAGGACTTCTCCCTTTATTTTGGCCCTGCCTCTTTTGCCCGAACTCCATCCACCAGTGGAATGTGACTCACAGAAGCTTCGCCAACATGGAGCTTTGCATTTGAGCTGGAAGGGGTTCAACACCTGCATTTTATAGTGCAGGATCTATCATCCACCTTCAGAGTAATTAGTCACAGAAATACCTGAACCTCATAACATCTGCTTGAGCATCTCTGTGGAAAGCCATAGGTATCATGAGGCCCAAGTAACTTTATTATTTTATTATTCTCAAAATACAAGGGGAAATTAGGACTACTGAAATACTTTGAAAAACATTGGCACCGTCAGGCTGGAATCCTATGTATATATGTTTGGAAGTAACTTCTGCTGAACTTAATGGAGCTGATTCCCAAGTATGGGCGTCGCAATCTTAGACTTAAATCAAGGCTTGCTAATTTCTGGATTTTCCCATCCCAAGAGAGCCATTTCCACCATTACAGTCCACAGAGTGCCATGCGATCCATGAGAACCCCCAAAAAGAGAGTGCAATTCCCCCCCCCCCACCAAATCACTAGTTTACTTGGTGACAAACCACTCCATAGTGCTACGGAATAGCACAACAGTTAAATATAGCCTGCAACTATGGAGCATTGATGGGGCCAACAAGATTGCAAACATGATACATTTAGTATTTGGATACTCCATAGCCACAATGGATTCCACGGAAATGGATGTTCTGGAAAAAAATGAGCCACCTGCATTTAAGTGGTGGTGGCAGCAGTGGAGAGGCATGTGCTACTCAATATTTCACCAGCAGTCATCTTAATCTTCTCTAGAATGCAGTCGAAGTGTGGCATCCCATCAATGTACTAGGCCACACGGAGCACAGAAATGCACTTCAGGTGTGTGCACAAGGGAGGAGTCCTTTCTCCAACAAAGAGCTCTTGGAACTGCATCCTGATGAGATGGGTGATTTTGTTCCCCCAGTGGAGGCCTAAGATTTCCTAGTACTCCTGACCTCATTTGTATGCTCCTTTCCAAAAAGAACAGCCACTGGGAGGTGGACATTCGCATTATCAGGAATCCACATGGATTTCTTCACTGCCAATGGATCTGGCAGAAGAAAGCCTAATTACAAACAGATATTTTCTCTTGGCCAAAGGATGCATTTTTGAAGTATTACAATTTAACAGCTGGGCTCAGCCCTTCTGTCCCCGCAACTCTTTCAAATCATTTGGCCAAGTATGTAAATATATGTATGCATGTTTATATCTAATGTAAGATAAAGTTACTTAGGATGATGCTGTTGTCCTCCCATGATGAAAGCAGCTTCCCTTTGTACAATGATGGAGCATACCACTCTGACAATATGTAATTGTTCCCCATTTCTCTGTATGTTCCTTGCTTTAACTGCTCTCTCAGGAGCAAAACATTATTAACAACAGCCTCTCTTTGTGCTGCTTGGATATTTTATGACCCTTGGAACTTTAATGGAACACCTTACTTAGCAGAGAGGCCTAAATTTACAGCATGACTTTATTTCAACTGTTACTATTTATTTCCACTCTCTGCCTACTGTTCTTTAGCAAGTTACTAATCCATGAAAGGACCCACCCCACCCCCTGCTTTTATTCCATGACCTCCATTTCATTCTTATACCATCTAACAGCCAAAGCCCTCTAGCTGGTTCACAACCATTAACAGTTCCCCCGCCTTTGTCCTTGTGCTGCCCCCCCGATTTTTCCTTCATGGCTTTGTTTGGTTTTTGGGACCCATCATTTTTCCCTTACTCCCAGCTAACACAAAAATGTCAGGGCAAAATAGTGTGACTGTGAATCATTTTGGTCCTTAAAACATGTTGATGCATGTGTATATAAGCCATGGTCAGGAAAAATAATTTCCTATGAGCCTTCCCTACCTACAGGACAACATCACCTTCCATAGCTGACAATCAGAGCTGGTTGGTCTGGAATCAAGATTCTTCATACCACATCTTGTTCCCCAGCCACCTGGCTCTCAGGATAACCAGGAACTTGGGAAACTGCTTACTTTCAAACAAATATTTTCCTCAGCTTTCCACAATGTGTGACCAATCCAAGAGATGTCTCCTTATAAGTGGGATAGTACAAGCTTTTTTCTTAGATATACTTTGTCTGACTAGCAT